CATCAATCTGAAGCCAGGGATATCAGTAATACGTAGACTATCTCCACATGCATGAAGTTCAGTTACTCATAAATCAAAAGCCTATGTTGCAAATTGACATTAGTTATATCAGCATTGCACATTGAAGAATCAAGCTAGTTGATTAATGAGAGGCCTCTCTCAGCATCATCTCCCTCTTTTCAATAAACCCTTCTCCTATTTAATCTCATTTTCCTGTCAAATCTATTTTACATAATAAGCTTGCCACTCAGCATGAAAGGACGGTGAGGTATAAACCTAAGTAACATCGATTTCTATTTCACCTATCATTGAATTTTTGTCAATTTAATCCTCCAATTTAGCTCTCGGAGCCTACGACCCCCCCCCCCCCCCCCCCAAAAGAACTAGACGTATAAAATGTATCTTTTAATGAAGATGGTAATCTTGACCTCAAATTTCGATTCCGTACGGCCTATTCATATAACACCGAATAAAAAAAGAAAATCTAGGACCGAGGGTAGGAAAAAAACCGCTTTCGGCGAGCTACAGCCAATATCTATCGGACGCAATGTCACACTTAATTAATCGGCAAAATAGGACCGAAACGAAAAAGTATCTAGCCACCGGAGACTCCCCAAGGACTTCTTTCCCCATGTGAAATCTAATCAATGGAGCGAAAGACGTTGGTTTATAGATATTAATTAACAACAGGAGCGGGCTGCATCAGATGAGGAAGAAAGGAACACGGGAAGGGAGTAACTGCGAGCAGGTGGAACCCTAGGAAGAGTCGAAGCCTTCCCCAGATGAGCGAAGAAAACAGGGGAACCGAAAGTCCGATGGTCCAAGAAATCGAATGTGATTTGAACCTGTCCTTTGTTCCCATCTCTTGTCCAAAGCGCCACGCGTCCGAGGAAAGAGAAAGAAGAAACGAAAGGAGATAAAGCCGAAGGACAGCTGAGGTACCACTAAGTGCAACAGGAATTCAAAACGCACGCTCCCACAAATTCAAAGATGCTCCTCGGAGGGTTTAAGGTCTCGAGTGAGACGTTGAAAAGAAAACCCTACTGGTGTTTGCAAAGATCGTACGGGCGAAAAGTAAACATACAGTACGAAAAACCTCTTTGTTGTATGTCGTGATAAAAGTGAATTTTGCACATTAAATGGATTAGAGATTAGAGAGGGAAAAAAAAAACTCTTGATAAGGAGTAAAAGATGACTTCATGGGTGAGAAAGTTTCAAGTGAAAATTTCGAAATTTATAATATAATTATGAATACCGCATTTGCTAAAAATCCCATTCTAAAGCAATGTATAGAATTCAAAGCCAAGAGGCAAAAATCGAATTGGTTGTAGTCAAGTTCCATCTTGAGAAACCAAAATCGGACTAGTATGCATCGTTTGATACGAGTGTCACGCATTCATTCATCACTATACCGTTCATAAAAATTGATTAGAATAAGTCCCGTCTTCTCGAAATCGGCTCGAAACCAGACCAACCAGGCCGTTCCACGAGAAAAACCTAACTTGGCAGCTCCGGACCACCACTCGATTGTCCACTGAAGCCGGTTCACCAGGACGATGTTTGTCAAAGATGATTTGCCCGAGACACATCATTCCTTCCGCCTCCTAACCTCACGCTATGTAAAAGCGCACAGGTCGAATCATCACTATCCGAGAGGTTCCATCTCACCCGCGATATGCAGAGATACCCTTCGAAATTCATACGGCGAATCGTCGTTATCTAGAAAGATTTTGCTCAGGTACTAAGGTCGAAACTATAATAAACCCAAAAGGCAGAATGAATTCCTGCCGACCTGCTAACCTAATTACCTAATCCTTCGTTCCCAAGTCACGATTCCCACCAAATGCAAAGTCCGTGGTCCTTTACGGCTCCGGAAGTTTCGCCCCATCCATCCCCCCACGGCGGGCCCAGCCACAATTTTTTTGCTTTTTTGCCGAAAGGGGCCCCCGCATCTTATTAAATTTGCGGAGAGGTACGCCCAAAGAGAGAGAAACAGATAGGTACCCAACGACCAGCGGGAAGAAATTAAACAACAAGTAGGATCTGGGTAAAAGCTTTTGCAAGTTGCTGATTGGGGGGGCCTGCATGAGTCCCGACCTCCCCCTAGACTTTTTTGACTCTTCCCCTTCTCGTCGCTTTCGCTCGGTATTGTATACGGCTCTCTCTCTCTTTCTGGCCGTTCTTATCTGAGTAAGGCTCGTACTATGCAAAAGGCCACGTTATAAGTACGGCCATATCTTCCCCCGAATCTCTCTCTGTCTCTCTCTCTCTCTCTTTTTTAAAATAACAATGCCCCACGTATTCCTTTGCCCCTACTAGCCAAAGGACATGTTCATCGATTCCGGGCGACCTCGACTTGGCCGTGCCGGGTCAGGGCCGTGTGCTGGGACCGAGCTCCTCTCGGTGGTGAAATTTGGGTGGCTTTGTTCGGGACGCGCTCTCGTACCGTGCCTAGAACTTTCGGTTTTACCGTCTCTCTCTCTCTCTCGCTGCGGGCGTAAGACGGAACTAGATTGTCATCGAGAAAGGAAGGCTGTGGATTCGTGTTTTTTTAAATGTATCCCATCTTGGTAGATCAAATTGTCGATTCATAGAATGAATCTCAATTCAATTCATCGGCAAAGGCTAACTAAGATAAACTTTTCTGATTGAAAGACCCGTGAATACCCTCCAAATAAAGTTGGAGTATCCAAAAAACAGAAAGGGTTAACCGTGACACAAATACTCCGAATTTTGTTGTGCCATTTAAAACCCTAAAGTTTCCCGTTGTGACATAAATACCTGCCATAGAAAACCCAAAACTTATACCGGTACGAAACAGATGAATGTTTTTTACGGACATAGAATGAATCTCAATTCAAGTAATTGGCAAAGGCTAATTAAGATAAACTTTTTGGTTGAAAGACCCGTGAAAACCCTCCAAATAAAGTTGGAGTATCCAAAAAAAGAAAAAAAATTAATATCAAAAGAAATTTCAAATTATGTAGACTGTGACACAAATATCTCGAATTTTTGTGTGCCATTTAAAACCCTAAAGTTGCTCATTGTGACACACACAAATACCTATAATAGAAAATCCAAAACTTATACCGGTATTAAATAGAGGACATATATGTCACATATATATATATATATATATATATATAAGTTTGGATTTTTTTTGCAGACGCCGAAAAAGGTTCAGGGTATTTTTGTTACGGTGGAAACAGTTTATGAGTTTTGGTGACATAAAAAAAATTCGGAGTATTTGCGTTACGCGGACCACAATTCGGAGTGTTATTATTATTTTTTTTTTGGTGTGCGGTTATTTTGGCCTAGATAAGAACGCCCAAACCCTTTGCGTGGCTAACAAAACAAGAGATGATTAATATGATATAAAATTGGGAGGCGTATTAATTAAAAGGGGATTTGACATTTGTGCGGGAGAGTCTTTGTTCGTACCACCTTCACCTCTTGAATCTGTCCTTCCTCAAATAGCTCCTTCCCCGAGTAAAAAATAAATTAATTTATTAAATATTAATTTTAAATTGACAATCCCGTCCCGATCCTTCTCTCCCCCCCGTCCTTTTCGTTCGCCGCGCGCCCCTCGTGAATCGCAGGGCGTCGACTTTTGGACCCCCCCGCCCCCCCCCCCGCGCGGACGAAACTGCCCTCGCGAACCGCCCTTATTTCCCGCCCGTCCTTCGCGTCCTTCCCCCGTACGGAACCTATCATTGCCGCCCCGAAATGACCATCGTGTCCCCCATCCTCCTCGTTAAATCCGGAAATGCCCCCCCCCCCCCCCACCTGATCGGGGTGGCGTTTTGACCCTCTCTAATCTCCCTTTTCTTGTTTTTCGGATTAAAGAAAAAACGTCGCAGCCGGTTTACGGAATTATGTCGGGGGGGATTCAAGATCTCGCCTATTTTGACGATCTCGAGGGCTGCGCTGGCATTTGAATAATATGGTCCAAATCTGATGATAAGATTAGAAATTTATAACTACTTTCTTTGAAGTCGAAGGAAATAGCCGCCTCGAGATATACTTCTCACGTCAGGACAGCATGGAGTATTTCAATTTCGTGATATATTCGAAAAGAGTTTTCCCGTTCTCAGAATTTCACTATGCAATGAAGAGGTTCTGTTTCCATTTACAATACCCAGAATTCGAAGCCATAACTTCATGCTCAATACTATAGTTCGACTGTTAATCTAGATACGAGGGAGTTTCTCTTTTTGCCTTAAACTTATTGGGTAATGGCACAAATTATTCAGGAATTTAATATTCGATATGATCCTTCGAATTTCAATTTTTTTATTTGTTCTGATAGCTGAACTTCCGTATATACACTCTTTTCTTTGTTTTTGTTTTTTTTCGTTTTTTTCGTTTTCATTTGATGTCAATGCACTCAAAGAACCAGCTTTTGCACACATGATGCCTCGGTGCACGACCACAAAGTGGACAAATTTAATAATAAAAAAAAGAAAAAAAACCCCACAACCTGTCTGTCTAGACTACTCCTTTTAGAAGTCTCCTCTGTTGTTGGGTTTTTAATCAAAATAAATCACGCGATTACTCTGTTTCTTCTTAACGAGGGGGAGGGAGGGACAGGCTGGAAGAAAGCAAAAGTGGTGTGGGGGAAGGGGGAGGGGCAGAATCGTCCGTGCGGGGGGGGGGGGGGGAGAACCAAAACTGACCAAAACCAAAACTTCCCAAAAGAGGAACCCGAGCCTAATAAAGTAATTTCCGCCCCCACAAAAGAGATTAAAAAAATAAAATAAAAGAGCCCCTCCTCCTCCTCTTCTTCCTCCTTCTTCCAAACTTCCCCTCTGTTCCTGCAACAAACTTCTCAAACCTTCAACATCTCTCTCTCCCCCAACAATCCAATTCCCCACCTGCAGAGCTTTTCTCTGCTGGACTGTCTCTCTACTTGTCAAAACCATCCATCCATCCATCCCATCTTCCTCCATCACCATCCCTCTTGCTCCTCCTCCTCCTTCTTCTTCCTTCTTGCTTCTTTGCTTCTTCTTCCCATCTCTGTCTGTCTCTGCCGGTGTGAATCTTGAGGAAGGCGACCATGAAGAGGCAGAGGCCCACGCCGCTTCCGTCGTCCCCGGGTGGCGGCGGCAACAACGCCACCACCGCCCTCTTCGACCTCCTGTCCGAGGAGATCGTCTTCCTGGTCCTCGACTTCCTCGACCGGGACCCGCTCGACAGGAAGTCCTTCTCCCTCGTCTGCCGCTCCTTCCGCTCCCTCGAGTCCCGCCACCGCAAGCTCCTCCGCCCCCTCCGCTCCGACCACCTCCCCGCCGCCCTCGCCCGCTACACCAACGTCTCCGCCCTCGACCTCTCCCTCTGCCCCCGCGTCCCGGACGCCTCCCTCGCCGCCATTGCCGCCGCCTGCGGGGACGGGCTCCGCTCCCTCGACCTCTCCAAGTCCAGGTTCTTCTCCGGCGCCGGCCTGATGAGCCTCGCCGCCGGCTGCCGCAACCTGGTCGAGCTGGATCTGTCGAACGCCACCGAGATGAGGGACTCCGCCGCCGCGGCGATCGCGGAGGCCAAGAACCTCGAGAAGCTGTGGCTCGCGCGGTGCAAATCCGTGACGGACATGGGGGTCGGGTGCATCGCGGTGGGCTGTCGGAAGCTGAGGTTGCTGAGCCTCAAGTGGTGCTTGGGGGTCGGTGATCTCGGGGTCGGCCTGGTCGCCGTTAAATGCAAGGAGATTCGGAGCTTGGATTTGTCTTATCTTCCGGTAACCTTCATTTCCATCCTCCGCGCACTCACTCATGAATTGTTCTTTCGTTGGTTTTGTTCATTTGATTGCGTAATTTTTCCACACTTTTCAAAGAAGAGCACCTTCTTCTTGATATCTTCTTGAGGTTAGATAGATGTTTCTTGAATGGCAAACTTGCTGGGATGGACTGTATATAGTAACTACACGGGAGCGAATCTTTTCTTGTTAAATTTCTCCACCTGGTAAAGCTCTGTTTAGGTACCTGAAGCCATGTTTTCACGTTCGATTGAGTAAATCCTGTTTGTTGATCCGTATTGTGCTGTGCAGATCTCGAATAAGTGCCTCCCCTCCATTATGAAATTACAACATCTAGAAGAATTGGTCCTTGAAGGGTGCTTTGGCATCGACGATGAGTGCCCCGTGGTCCTCAAAGATGGCTGCAACTCACTAAAGGTAGCTTCTGATTGAAGATGGATGTATAATATGTTTCTGGTAACCCGCAATCTCACCGTTGCCCATGCTAATTATCATCTGCTAATTTGAAACTGCGCTCCACATATGGGAATTGGAATTTATTGTTGTTACCATTATTGTCTACTAGTCTTCATAGCTGGAATCAGTTTAATCTCTCAGTCTCTCATAAAACAGAGAGCATAAAATAGTTTTTGATGAATGCTGGAGTTTGGAGATCTTTAGTTATATATAATTCTGCGAAAATCCTGTACTTGTTAGGGGGGGCATCGTGTTTACATCAGAACAGTCTCAATTACGAGCTATTCTTTGTGTTTCTGTTTCTATAAGTTTGGCCTAACGTGTTGTTTGCCCTTCTTCAGGCACTTGACATGTCAAGTTGTCAGAATATCACTCATGTTGGATCATCTTCCATTACTAATGGTGCGGGGTGCATACAGCACCTTACCTTAGCGTACGGCTCACCGGTAAGTTTCTTCTCATCTGTTTTTTCCTTCTTCTGCATTTTGGGGGATTGTTCTTTTGCTTACTCTTCAATACTCTCTCCGTTGCTTCAGGTGACTTTTGCTCTTGCTGCTAGTTTGAGAAGGCTTTCCATGTTGGAGTCGTTAAAGTTAGATGGTTGCCTGGTGACAAATTCTGGACTGAAGGCCATTGGGAACTGCTGTTTGTCACTCACAGAGCTGAGCTTAAGTAAATGCTCTGGAGTGACAGATGATGGGCTCTCCTTTCTTGTAACCAAACATAAACAACTCAGAAAGCTTGATATTACGTGCTGTCGCAAGATAACTGATGTTTCAATCGCTCACATTACAAGCTCCTGCCCTGCTCTTACGTCGCTAAGGATGGAGTCTTGCACCCGTGTTCGTAAGGAGGCATTTGTTCTGATTGGACAGCGATGCCATGCTCTTGAGGAGCTTGACCTTACAGATAATGAAGTCGACGATGAAGGTTTGCTTAACTCTTACACATTGTAAGTTGTGCTCCAGATTTGAGCAACTCGAGTTATTGTACTCATTTGTCTTTCTTTTTGCAGGTCTAAAGTACATTGCCAGGTGTTCGAAACTCTCTATTTTGAAACTTGGAATTTGCCTGAACATAACTGATGAAGGGCTTTCTCATATTGGCAAATCATGCTCAAAACTTGTGGAGCTTGACTTGTACAGGTTAGCAACATCTCCTGTAATGTTTCTTTACTTTTTGGAATTGGTTTGTGCAGAGAACATGCGTGAATAAGTAATATACGCTCTCTTGTATCGGCTTCATATGAACATGAAAGTAATTCATTGTGTGATGCAAATAGGCTAGTGTCACGGGCCGACCTCCAGTCTGTGACACAAGGCGATATGTACACAAGAGACCGTGCATAACTATAGTAAGAAGAACTTGGAATCACTAGAATGAAAAAAAAAAATCACTTTACTGCCAAGGGGACAGGGTTGGCTTCGCTTTCTCAAGTCATACTGATATGCAGGCTTATATGATTGACCAAATATATCTACTTTTGTTCAGGTCAGCTGGAATAACAGGGTTGGGGATTCATGAAGTTGCTCGTGGCTGCCCTAGCCTCGAGACGATCAACGTATCATATTGCAATGACATTATGGACACCTCCTTGATCGCACTATCAAAATGCGAGAGGCTGAACACCTTAGAAATCCGAGGGTGTCCACTCATCACATCTTTAGGTCTAGTGGCAATTGCCGTCTGCTGCAGGCAACTGAGCAAGCTTGACATAAAGAAGTGCTGCAACATCGATGATGGTGGCATGATTCCGCTGGCTCATTTCTCTCAGAACCTCAGACAAGTATGCTCCATTTTCATCCATCTTCGTTTTTGCTTCTCAGATGACCAACTCGTTATTAAGTCTTAACATTCTCATTTCTCATGCAGATAAATTTGTCCTACACATCTGTCACAGATGTGGGGCTACTGTCCCTTGCCAGCATTAGCTGCCTTCAGAGCATGACCATCTTGCATTTGAAGGGCTTGACCCCCAGTGGACTGGCAGCTGCATTACTAGCATGTGGAGGCTTAACCAAAGTGAAACTCCAAGCCTCCTTTAAACTGGTGCTACCGCAGCCTCTTTTCGAACACTTGGAAGCGAGGGGCTGTTTGTTTCACTGGAGAAATAAGGTGCTTCAGGTTGGTATTTGCTTCTTTCACTACTTTTTGTTACCTCGAATCGGTTGTTCTAGAAACTAATCTAAACATCAGCATGTTCCTTTTCTACGGTGGTAATGTCAGGCTGAATTGGATCCTAAGTGTTGGAAACTACAGCTGGAAGATGTCATGCAGTGAAGTTCGAAGATTTTGGAAACAAGAATGCCAAGGATTTTCGATCAGCGGGCAACATGTCTCTACTGCTCAAGGATGCAAGATTCCATGTCCGTTGAGAGGATTAGCAGTTTGTTTTTCGAGATGAAGGTCGACCGAATCGATAGAAAGTCGCTCTTTCTTGGTGGTAAACCACCCGGTCCGAGTCTCGACATTTTCCAGTTTCATGTATTTTTACCAAAAGTCAAGTGTATTATTTGTGTCCCTGCAGCTTTGAAGATGAGCGCTGCTCGTTGTACAAAGGTTGACCTTTAGCTAAAAGAGCTCTTGGTTTTTCCAGAGGACGGAAAAGGAATGTTTAATTCTTCAACTTCTAGTCCCTAATCGTTTTTCTTTGATGTCCCGTGGCAAAATCATCTAGTCCTTTCGCTTGAAGCGTTTCTTAATGCAACTGTCAAAATCTACAAGGTTCTTTTCTTAGTGGAGATAGGTGGATTGGATAAACAAGTGCATTAATCACGGTTATTGTTTATAAAAATGAATGATTATAAAATGCTTTACCATAAATTAAAAATTTAGATATAAAATGTTGTTGATAAAGGAAAAAGAAAATTTAAGCGACAAAAGTAATCATTTTCAAGAAAATATTTTGTAAATCATTGATTGATTTTCCATGAGATGATCGCATCTCAGGATGGAAACAAGCTTGCATCATGTCACTCGACAGTAACATCGATTGCAATTAATCTTAGTGGCTAACGCTGTGAACATATTACATGGAAAGAAACACAAGAACCCCAAGATGGATGATGGAGAGCAAATGACTAACTACATTTATCCAAATAACTGACTCCTGCTAAAATATGAAATTGGGTTCTTGAACATTTTCTTGCTCTCAATCAAGTCCTGTGATTTGCATGTTCGGAAGCACTCTTATCAGTCTGCTGACGTCACAATGCTTGCATGGCAAAAATATGCCAGGTCGTGTTAACTTACATGCCACGTCAACAAATAAAACTAATAATTTGAGGAAAAAAAAGGAGGGAGGGAGAGTGAGCTTGGTAAAAAACGGGGGACAATCATTTTTATGTATGTTGTTTCATTTGGGAAATTGTCAAAGAAGTCATAAACTTATTACACTTTTATCAATTCAGTCTTAAACGTTTCAATTTTGCCAATTCAGTTCTAAATCTTTTCACTTTTTGCAAATTCAGTCCATCCGGCCAATTTTAACCGGTCGGCACTGACATGGCCGCCGGTTGGCTAGCCAGATGGACTAACTTGGCTGCTAGCCGGTGTTGGCCGTTCGGCCAATGCTGACGTAGCAATTTTTAAATATTTTTGTTTGAATTTTTGAATTTTTTTTTCTTCTGCACTTCCTCTCTGGCTAGTCCAGCAACCGATGACCAATTGAAAGCATATGAAAAATATTTGACATCTTTAATAATAATAATAATAATAATAATAAAACAACGATCTTATAGGAATTTTTTTTTCATAAAAATGAACTCGTGAGCTGGTTTTAGAGGAAGCTCCGAACTTTACAAAATAGTCGATGTAGGAAGATGTGAAGATGAAATATATATAGAAAATAATAGTCCTAGATTGCTTACCTAGAGCACTTTAAAGTTTGTTACTCCTACAAAAACAAGAATTGTAAGTAGAAGAGATTGTTGTAAAAGTTTTTTTTCTTCGTTTTTTAATTTATTTTTATCGCGCATAAATAATAATACTATTATTATGTTCTACTACAAACAAGCAAGGCAAGGCAGCGTTAATATCAGCCTCCACCTAATAATGCAACACAAGGCAACTTTTTCAAAGGAAATTTGCCCAATTTGGGGCGGTGTCCCGAGGTGCACGGATTCCATGCCCCCGATGCCGGGCTGTACCTACGGTGCGCCGTGAAGGTAGCGCCGGGGCAAATCTTCTTACTGCAGACACCTAAATTTTGCAAACAAAATAGACGTGCATTCAGATTTCAGCAGGAGGAGGAGGAGGAAGAAAATAATTGAAAGGACTCCAATTCAGCTCTAATTGAAAAGGTCCGGTCCAATTAGCACAGACCCAGGTGGGTGGAGATATCCATTAAGCCATCTTGCAAAAGACCATTTCAATGGACTTTGATGGAATTCGGCCGAGCCACATCAGTCCAAGAAGCCTGCCAGATCCATCGAAGCCCCTTTTGCCCATTGTTCGAGACTATTTTGCGTCACTTTGACCCATATAAAGGAGGGCCCAGATTTCTTTTGGTTCTCGAAGTCTTCACCGTCGGTCCGTCGTCTCTGATCGTCTGGATCGACGCCGCTGATCACCGTCGGTCTCAGTTTGGAAATGAAAATGACAGGTCTGGTCAGAATTCAAACTCCATTCAGCCAAGATTTTCTATGTATAGAGACGAGTGTAACTGGGAGAAGTATAAGGAGAGAATTTAAACTCGTCCGAATTGAATTCAAGGAACATCCGAAGAAAATGCTTAAATGGGGAAACATCTCTCGAAACAGGCAACGGGAGATATAAAGCAATCCAAGTTTGAAGAAGCCAGAATGAACCCAAAAAAAGGTGCCAGATCCTTTTGGTTGCACAGCCAAAGAGGCATGGGTAAGACCTCTGTAAAAGGCAGCAAGAATGAGTAGGCCCAACGCGATTGACGTACCGTCTGACAGACTAGACGCAATACCAAGAAGATACCTAGATACTTCAAGAGCAGGATGAAAGAAGACATATTTGGAAAGCCAAAATTGTAAGAAGGCAACATGTTTAGCGTCGGAAATTGGGCTGTAGTTCAGACGAAATTTGTGTAAAAAATTCCCACAGGATAGAGCGATGTCATCGACAAACTCGAGATGTTTAGGAGAACTAATATCCCTTGAAAGTCTACCGGAAGGAAGAAAACCAGCCATGGCATAGGCGTCCAGAAGAGTGATCGACATGGGTCCGCAAGAGAAAAAGAAATGGTTGGTCGATGGAGACCAAAAGCTGATGGCGGTACCCAGAAGACATAGATTTAAATCCCAATCGAAGCAGTTAAACTAAAGAGCAGTTGCAATGCCAACCTTTTTCCAAATAGAATGCGTTTGATCCTCAGGTACCATTCATGAGATCCACATCAAAAGAGGGAAAACCCCTGAATCATTGAGATTCAGTGGTCCAAATATCTACGCTGGAGGGTTTTTGGAAAGGAAGCTTCTCCCCCCTTAATCGAAGGATACAAGGTTTAAGGGATGCAGGAATCCGAAAATGTTGTTTAAGACAAGGACCAAGGATAGTCTCGCCAAGATATCCATCAACTTTGTTTTGAAGGTCGAGATAGCAATTCTTGTGATGGTCATCTTCTCGTAAGCTATCGAACCTGTGAATGTTGTTTTCAGAAAAATACTCGGGAGGTTCTGGAGCCATGGAATGCAGTAGGGCTGAAGCCGGGCAAAACTTGGAAGACCAACGCTTTTATGCCTGGGGTCAAGATTGAAGACGAGGAAGATAAAAATCCAATGTTGGCCGAACAAATGCTTTCCCAAAACAGACAACAAGTCGGAATGCAGCGTTCCATACAGAGATGATTAGTAATGATGGCAATCCTTGAATCGTGCCGATTGAAACGACATGTCAAAATGCTGTGAGATAGTTGATTGCGCACGAAGTATGAAGGTTTAAAGGAACAATGCGCGGCCTAGTACTATTCATAGAGCATAAACCCTTACGGCCCAAGTATTTATTTTTAAAAGAAATTTTAATTCTTTTAAAAAGGGCATACGTTTGCAGCAAAAAGTGACCAGGTCGTCAATATGGGTAGACACATGACTAAAGTGTTGAATATTGTCAAGCACGTGACCCATTGTCAATAACCACGAGGATTGGATTCGATATTGACGCACATCGGTGTATCGACCAGTTGTTGACACATGACAACACATGGTTAACGATGATCGACAAGGGTATTGATAAGCTATCAAGGCATTAGAAGAAAACTGAACGCATAAGGGGCATCAATATGCGGCTACAAGTTTGAAGTCACTAGAGAACAAAACAAGTGAGGTTGTGGAACAACTGGCACGCATTTTTAAAGGAACAATCGTCTAAAGTTAAGATCATGGCATCATGAGAATATGGGCACAAAACATTCGGCAGTAAAAGAACATGGCTACAACTGTGAGGGAACTGCTTAGAGACAATAATGGTATAACCACTATAAATACCATTGCTCACCTATTGAAGAGCCTCACACCCACATAAATCAAACAAATTTACTATCTTTATGTAATCTTTACTTTCTCGCACTATACTTTTGTCTTCCAGACTCGCATGATCGATTAAATTTTGACTTGTTTCTTAGTTGTAGTTTTCAGATCGCGTCATCGATTAAATTCTGCCGTGCATCTCTATCTTAGGCGTTGCGTCGTTGGAAAACATTTCCTAAACTTGATCACTTGTATAGCTTTAAATAATTAATCAATGAATTTTTATTATTATTGACAACAATTCATGTTTAAACATTTCCGTGGACAATGAATATTATTTTCGTTAATTTAGTTTTGTTAGCGATACAATCGATTATTTAACGAAAATGTTCTTCAAATTATTTATTTTTCACGAAACAAACGAACCTTAGTTTGCTTACGTTGAACTTACAATTATAAATACAATTCAACTTTTTTTTAAATATGATATTGTTTTTGCAATTTACGATTTTACCGTTGTTTATTTAATCAAGCGGCACCTACGCATAGAGATAATTGTCCAAAAAGTCCTAAATATATTGTACGTCGGCTAGTTCAGTATTAGAATTTTCAATTATGCAAAATTAGTCCTAAACCTTTTGACGATTTTTCCAATTTAGTCTTAAACCTTTCAATTGTTTCAATTTAGTCTTACACCTTTTGAAAATTTGCCAATTTAGTCCTAAACCTATTATTTGGATAATTGACTGGAGACTATATTGACAAATCATTAAAATGTTTATAACTAAATTTACAAATCATCAAAAGGTTTAGGACTAAATTGACATAATTGAAAGATTTATGACTAAATTGGCAATTCGTCAAAATGTTTGAGACTAAATTGGCACAATGAAAAGATACTGAATTGACCGTGTCGTATGATAGATTTAAAATTTTTTGGATAATTTTATCCCAACGCATAGATTTGGCTATTTGGAGGCCTATGAAGCACTTTGCAAGTTCCATAAAAAGAAGTGGACAAGTCCAAACCTTTGGTAATTGCAAATCGCAAGAACCCGAACGCACTTGTTGGGATTTTAACATACGATCTATAATTCTTCGGTTAGAAAACCTCCTACCGTCCTACATGCCAACCCAACCGCACCAATCCCACAAGGACAGTTTGTGTTTGGGAACATGCCGACGGCGGCAATTTGGTCTTTTCGGAGTAAATTTTCGTGCGGAGGTAGCAATCTCGTATTCCAAAAAACGGAGGTATGAAAGTAGTCTTTTGGTGAAAAGTGATGCTATGTTTTCGATATTTTTCCAGAACAGAACTCAAATGGAACCTAGTTCAGTCTCTTGCCAATCGTAACAAAAGCCCCGAAAAGGGGTTGAAAGAGGAGCGAACTGGGCAGGCAAACACTCAAGACAAGAAGAAGAAACGCCACGATACAGAGAGTCACAGACCCGGAGGATGATGCCTCATCCGGAGCCTCGTCAATGCGGGTTCAGGGCAGGTTTCGTTCACGCTATCTACCGTTTCTCTTAGTCTCCCCCTAGTCTGTATCATCTACGCCCTTTGACTCGCTCAATACGTCCTTATTTCTGAGTCAAGAAGAAATCTCAAACCCGTCAACCTCTGCTCTGATCCAATGACTCGGAAGAGGAAGAGAAAATTTTGGTCAACCTGGTTCTTTCTTGCTCTCGTTGGACGCTCCAAGGTTGAGGTTTGAATGGTTCCGAGAGGTTATATTTTAATGGGGATTTAAAATAAGCAAGTGTCGGGTGTTTTAGCTTTCGTCACACGAGGCTTCACTAACTTCACATGCCCATCATCTGACCGAGCAACTACCACACGTTCTTTAAAGCAAAAACAGTAAACAAAGTAGAAATGGTCGATAAACGTGCCACTGTGAACCGTTCGGCAGCTTAGAATCAAACTCAAAACAAGGCACACATGTATCCTAGAATTGAGAAAACACCTAGGATGAGTACTGGGTCCGGTTTTACTAGGGACTAGCCCGGGCAGTTCGCTTCCAAGATGAATCCGAGAAGAAACATATTGGTTTCCGATTTCAAGAACCAAGAACCAGCTGAGGATCCAGTTGAGGATCGGTTCAATTCCTAATTCCATGCTCGACCGGTTTTTTGGTAGAACCGGCTTTGACCTTTATTTGAGAGGAAATACATACATTTTGCACTGAAAAAGATTTTAAACGGGACAAATATCCATCCTGATCACTTGAGCAAGAATAATTTGTGTCCAGAATAACTGATTTTTTGGCATTTTATAGTTATCTTTTAGACTTTTACCCATGCTAAAAGCCAACCATGAAATAGTCGGTTGTTTCCGGTTCCCGTTTCTGAGCCGGGGATCGTAGTGTCAGTGCCTAGTTCTTGGCAACAAACTGACCCACCCTAGAACTATTACTCCTAAAAGTAATCAGTCTCAAAAAAACCTTATAATGCACTATATCTCAGCAAGAAAGTCCACTTACAAATTAATCTGAGTTCACGGCATAGCTGAGGTTGCTTCCGGATGAAGAGTAAAACTTGGACCAACCAAGAATAGTTTGTATACAAGAGATAGAGTTTTTACATTTTATAATAAACTTTTATCATTATAAAAGGCCAACTAAGAACCGGTTCATCGTTCCCGGTTCTTGTTTTCTCAACCGGGGATCATAGGGTTGGTGCCTGGTTCTTTGCCAAAAACTGCACCTTCCGACGGGACGAAATTGGAGAAAAGTGAAAGGTTGGACATCGCCTAATAAGGATGAAAGGTTCGTATCTTGAATAATAGATTGATGGTTGGGTTTTTTTTAGCATATTAATACGTTCTACTTTATAAAGGTTGCATATTCTAGAGAAAAATTGTCTAAAAAGTCCTAAACATATTTCACTTTTGCAAATTCAATACTAAACGTTTCAATTTTGCCAATTGAATCTCAAACATTTTCACGTTTTGCCAATTGAATCCATCCGACCAATTTTGACTGGAAATCGCTAACGTGGATGTCGGTCGTCCTACATGGCACGGTCAGCGCTGGTGTGGATAATTTTTAATAATATTTTGATATTTTTTTGGAATTATTTTTTCCTTATTTTTTTCTTTTCTTCTCTTTTCCTTCTTTTCTTTTTTTCCCTTTTCTCTTTTTTTCTTTTATTTTTCTTTCTTCTTTTTCCCGTTTTCCCTCTACCGGCCATCGAGGAGGGCTGCCCTTACCTGGGGTTGCTCTCGCCCTCAACAACCTCGGGCGAGGGTCGCCCTCGCCTGAGATCGGTGGCAACAAGGCCCACTGGTGACCGAGGAGGGGACGAAGGAAAAAAGAAAAAGAAAAAAAAAGAGAAAAGGGAAAAAAAAAAAAGCAAAGTAGGAAAATATATAAAATATTCAAAAAATATTATTAAAAATTATTAACGTTAGTGATTTCTAGCCAAATTGGCCAAATTGGCCAAATTGGCCAAATTGACTCAATTGACAAAATTGAAAGATTTAGGACTCAATTGGCAAAAGTGTAATAAATTTATGACTTTTTGGACAATTTTCCCAGTATTCTAGCATATTAATCCGTTCAAATTTATATAACTTTTCTACTTACCTTTAAGACTAATACTTCACCTTATCAATTAATTTGTAATTTTTGCAATTTTATTGATAAAGAACATACAATTGAAGTAAATGATAGAACTTTTTTGCCAATAATTTTTGTTTTGTTTTTTAAAACATTGCATTCTTCCCGTGCTTAAGTTTTTTTTTTTTTTTTTTTGCAATTGAGCCCAAGAAAATCTAATTGCACCTATGAGCAAGATTATTATCATTTTGTGAGAGTGAACAAGTTGATGAAGTCCATTCTGGATTGAGAAATCGTTAATTTCTTTTTTGGTCCAATGACTGTCCTTAATTAATTGAGGGAATAATAGCCTGTTTTGAGCTAAAAAAATAAATAAATAATAATTGAAAATTATTGTGGGGTCCACTCATTCAAGAATTTGTGGCTCACAACAACCGTAGCCCAAAGACTATATGCTAACAAAGCCCTTCTGGATTCTTATCAACATTATTAACTAGTAGTTGACATTTATAGGCATGCCAACGTATTGACACATAGAGATGATTATACTTTCGCTAATTGGAAGGAAAACGACATATTTGTAATTAAACTTCTTGAAGATGCATGTCAATAAATCGAAAGCCAAGCGAGAGTTACCAATCCAAGAGGGGTTGGTGCATTATTTTGAGCATTGTTTTGGCCCATGAGATCTTATAAAGGGTCACATCTTTTCATTGTTCTTACATATCATTTGAATTTACATTTGAGTTTCCATTAGTTTGGTCTCCCGGCGGCGAGCCTTTTTTCTTTGGTCACCCTTCTGTGCATGCAGCGGTAGATTGGTTTGAGAATCCAAAGATGGCTTGTACTAATGCTTCTCAACAGGTTCAAACTAATGGAGACCAAACGCTGGAAGAACTCAACAAACAACATGCTAATCTGCTCGAGAGACTGAAAATTGAAAAGAGACGAGCTGAAGAGCTTAAGCACATTAAGCTCCTGAAAATCGAAAACCTTAGCTTCAACGAGTTAATGGTAGTGAAGAAGTCGCTGGAAGATCTCAAGAAAGTGGTGGACAGGAGAAGGATGGAACTCCTGGCATCAGAAGCGTCAAGTTCAACTCCATGCCCAAGAGCTATTGATGCCTCTATGATTAGCCAAATTAATGATAAGGGCTGTGATTCTCGTGGAGCAGAAGCTGGTGATAAGTAATCAACTTGAGCGAAGCTAAAACAAGAGAGGAGTCATTTTTTTTACTTGTTAAAGTTGCTCTTGGTCAGTATGTTGTTGTGATATTTCTTTTAACAGAATAACAATTGACGCTAAAAGAACAAACATATAAGTGCGGATGAGACGAATATTGACGTGTTTTCTTCTCAAAGAGGATAAATTAAAGATGTCTGCTCACAACAGGATCTCAATCCCAAATCTTTTACTCAGGCAAATCAGCGGCCAAACAACCCTTTGGCTTTTCACTTGGTATACACAAATTCACTTTTCCGCTTTATCCTCAACTTGGTATCAGAGCCAATGAAATCCCTTTCACGAATGTGCATCAACCCCCATTAATCAAATTCCATGTGCCTAGTAAAAAAAAAGTTCCACGTGCCACTCATAATTTGGCTTAGAGGTGATCGGTTCCCCGTACGGTCCGATCCCGCCTAGGAATCTGGAACCGGATTAGGAGGACCGGTTCCTAGTTTTTGGAATCGGAAACCGACCCACTTGGTCCTTGGACCGGTCTAATCCGGTTCTCGAGCAATCCTATGAAACCAGTGGATTCACATATCTTGGCTAAAAGTTTTGGATTAATTGAATTGCCGATTGATGTTGCAATTCGAAACTGGAATTCTGTCCAAGATTTGAGAAGAAGACTAAGAGATGATGGGCAGTAGGGGGCATGCTCAAAAGGAGGAGGATTCGGTGGATTCTTTTCTATAAACGACGGACTCACAAATTTAAGGAAGGTGCGAGTAAGCGAGGGAGGTGGAAACGGTGAACCTTTACAAGAAAAGAAAGAAAAATAAAAAAAGGAGCAAGAGACAAAAGGAGCAAGTTGGATGAATTGGTGCAGCAATATGAAAGAAACAAAGATTTGCTTCATCATCTGGAATAAGCGAGGCGCGAGAGGGGATGACTCCAAGAGGCGAGTGGGAAGGGAAATTCCTAAACTTTAGGTTATGATCTTTAAGAAATTAAAAAATATATATAATCGATTCGATCGGTCGGTCCAGTCTCACTTAAGTATTGTTTATATGCTTTTTATATTCATGCGGTCTCACTCCACCTATCAGATAGATTTCCGTAAATAAGGGTGTGCAAAACGGACTGCCCAAAATCGGGAACCGCCTGGACGGGACCGAACCGGCCAGTTTGATCCAGTTCCCAGTTTCTAAAAGTGGAACCGGTGCCCGAGCGGTCCGGTTCCCGATTCCAAAGGGGACCGGACCAATTACATATATATTTTTTTTATTTTTTCAAAAAAATTAGTAAAATGTGAACTAAACCCTAATTGAAGCACGTTTTTTTATTCGTCTTTTCAATTCGAGGATCATTACATGCATATCACTTTATTCAACACAAAAAAAATTAGTAAATTGGGAATCGATCCTCTCGATTTGGTTCCCGTTCGACCTTGGAACCGGATCGGACCGGGAATCGATCACCCCTATCTATAACCTGGCTCTCTACATGACACAAGATAGGAAAGTTGAGAATTTCTTTTTGGATGTAAGAACGAGGTGGAATTCCCTAAAAGGGTGTGTCGAGATGGGTATGTCGACTCTGTACTCCACCGCTCCTAGCGAAAGTGCCAATCTCCCACCATTAACATAACAAAATTGTAGGGTTGTCGAAGTATTTAGGCACTTTATGCCAATCTTCAACGACACAATGGATGCTTTGCCGTTTAGTGATTATCCGTCAAAGTAACTGCATCATTCCATTACAATAAAGCATGTCGGTTGAATTAGCAAACAAGGAGGGTGATTCCTCTTCAATGAAGAAACACCGGCCAGCGAGGCGAAATTCCTCAAATATTACAAGGACATTTCACCTTTTTTTTGGTGTCTATTATCTTGAATCCGAGGTCAAGTCGAAGAGGCTTGAAATTCTCACGTTCCACATTACAAAAATTTGGGGCTGGGTTTGGAGATCCAAGTGGAGCAAATATTGACGATGGTGTCAATTGGCTCCAGAATATGTATTTGCAAACCCTAGTTGATTTGAGAAGACGAATTCCACCCATGGACGAAGATGGCGCCCTTATCAAACAGTGCCCATTTAAATCTTGATAGTTTTTGCTTCGTAAAGAAGAATACCCCACACCCTTCTTCTAGATCCTCATCTTCATCTACCAATAAGTTGTAGATGTACATGACGACAAACTATTCCATATACATTGAAAGAGTCAGCGAAAACAACGTCAACACCTGAAGTGGTGGAAGTGTAGAGCTTCGTGTTTTCATAGTCTTTCCACCGTAGCTCATGACTTACTAATCCCGGCGGCATCTACGGTACTATCAGAGATCATGTTTAGTATTAGCTAGCGGATTTGCTCAACTTGCGTAACATGAAGAAGAGGACAACAATGACACTTTATCATCTAAATCAAGATGAGGGATACAGCGCCGAAGACATTGTATTAATAAACATTCTCTTGGGTGTAATTCGTATGCAACCATCTCAGGACACTAGTACGCATAGTTTTTATTTTTTATTTTTTTTAATTTTAGATGTACTTGTACTTTATTAGTATTTAATTAAATGAGGGTTTATCATTAATTTTTCTTAATTAAATTGCGAATTATTTTTAGTATTCATGTCAAATTAAATTTTAAATAATATCGATATACCAGTACGTCGTGTTTTGAATGTATAATATACTATCTTATTTATTCTAAATGTGATTATATTTCCCTTTCTTGCAATTTTTATTAAATAATGCAATTCATAAATCAAAATCATACAGTTCAGGATCTCGATCGAACGAAAAGGTCTTCAGAGACCATGTTCAAGATTTGAAAAGAGTTGACCGATCGCTGGTAGCCTGGTGCAATTTTTTCCTCTTTCTGGAAACTCGGTAGGAATCGTATGGTTGTGGAGATGTCTCATGGTAACCCAAGGACATAGCACGAAAGCGATAGACTGAAAGAGAGAAGAGGAAAAGGAAGGTCGCAAGAATTTTTAGAGGACAACAGAGAGAGCTCTAGAGTAAAATCCTCTATTGTAGGTCCAACCTTCAGCGGTGCAACTGATATTACATGTGTGGTAAAATGAGCCTTTCGCAGGATTTGGTCATGTGTGCTTTCTATAAGTATAAAATTATAAATGGAAATGTCAGCTTACTACTAATAAAGAGACAAAACTATCTTTACAAGCAATGGAAGAGCCAATGTAGTCAACTAGGTTTAGCATAGCCGGTCAGGATCTCACTTTGAGATCCAGAAGGCCGGGTCCGGGGTTCGACCCCTCAACTCCTCAATTTGTCCCCACGAATTGACACGCGCGTGTGAACGAGTCATTGCCCTGATCCCACCTTCGAGCGTCGAGTTCGAATCCTCTCGCACATGGTCAATTTGGACTCGCGCGGTGTCTGGGGGGGTGGGAGCCTCCCGGCGCCTTGTGAGGGATTTACTCGCCACAATCGATACAAGTAAGGACGATGCAGGCTATTTTCGGGGTTACAAACGGAGGAGGTATGAAAGACTGAATATGTATTTTCTCCAAACCATATAGAAATCGTAACCTAGCAACAGAAAACGGAAATAAGGAGACCAAAACAGTAAATCAGGACCAGCCGAAAGAGTTCTCGTAGGCCAAAAGTGTAAGGAGAGATCCGACAAGTGACAGGTTTTGGAGATTGAGAAAAGAGACAGCCTCCCCATCAAGAGACCTGTCGATTAAATTTTGCAAATTACAATTCCGGGACTCACACCTTCAATCCGGAGCAAAACTTGCCGACCGACAAAATTCGAATAGCGCTATTCGCGAATCCTCGCCATGAGCTTCTCGGCCTGCTTGATTGACACCGATCCGATCGATCCAGATGCCCGTCGTCTAGTGCTCACAAAGTCCCCCACATGTCCTGAAAATACCGGCAGACGGAAACCGACCCCCACAACGAATCGCACCGTCGGATCTCCATCATGGCAAAGACAAAAAAAAATGACAGAAAATTCAAATTCCATCTTTCCAGTTAAACACACAATCAGCTCCACATCTGGTGCGAAGCAAACCGCGGTCACCCTCAGCTCTCGCAATGCATGGCCCCCGGACATCTTCCGAGCAAAAAGAAACAAAGCAAAGCCCAACAACGTGTCGAATCAGGGCGATTTTTTTTGTCATGGTAATGACCCCACCTCCACAAAGATAAACTATCTCAAACACGTACCCAAACGAGACCAGAAGATAGCCAAGAAAGAGAGCGAGCGGAGGAGACCCTGCAAAAAGCAGTAATGCACACGTATGCACAACTTTGACCCGATCAAAGCCGCCTTTTCCATACGCCAGTCAAACCCGCAACCTTTGACCGAACCTCCCCGGATCCCCATTTTTTTCCACGGTCAAACTTCTCTTTCAGCTTCACAGAAGAAGCTCCCACGACCACCAAACCCAAGACCCCTTCCCTTCTGTATATATATGCACTCGCAAACAGCTCTGTTTTCTCTGAGTCAGCCTTCGGATCGTATCCACCTCTCCCTCCCTCCCTCTCTGTCTCTCGCGCTCTCTAGGAATCTTTCCATTTCGTTCACTTCGTACAATTCAGCACGAACGCCTGCACGAAAAATAGAACGAGAGAGAGAGAGAGAGAGAGGACCCAGATGAAATCTTCGTTCACTGATCTGTTGAACGGCGGTCTAGGCATGGACAGTAGCAGCTGGGGGTTTCCCTCGACGACCACGATGACCACGGGGTCGATGGAAGTCCCCAGGTTCAGGTCGAACCCGCCTCCTTCCCTGCCCCTCTCGCCTCCTCCGGTCTCGCCTTCCACCTACTTCGCCATCCCTCCCGGCTTGAGCCCCACCGACCTCCTGGACTCGCCTCTGCTCTTCTCGACTTCCAATGTGAGAGCCTCGCCTCATGCTCGATAGCCTCTGTCTTCGTTATAACGTTCATGGCCCGTTCGAACTTGTTGAGGTTTAATTAAACCGTTTTCGGGGGGTGTCTGTTTGGTATGTGCAGGTTGAGTCTCCGACCGTGGGAGCTTTCGCTGGGGAAGCAGCCAGCTGGAGGTGCGGCGGCTATGGCGGTGCCGTCAAGGGGGAAGAGAAGGGCTTTCCCGAATTCTCTTTCCAACCCCATCAATCACGCACCGCCGCCGCCACGTCGTCATCCTCCATGTCTCAGTCTTCTTCCGCCTTGGTTTCAGCGGTACGCTTTCTAATCTGTTTCGACAATCTGCCCAGAATACATGTAATGATCTCTTAGGTCTACCTGTTCTACTCATTTACTTTTAGCTCCTAGTGATTACTGCCTGTTAATTTACAGAAAACGAGAAGTTAGACCATCCATATCGATGGATTGTATCCGCGAAATTTTCACGAATTACTCGTACATTAGTATATCCATTATGTGGGACATTTGGTAACTGATTCAAGTCATCAATCGTCTACGGGGTGGTTATCTTTCTTTAAGAGATTTCATGACAGAAATGATTCGTTTTCGTGTGCTGTGTACAAAATAGACGGTGTCTCTGTTTGTGTGCGCGTCGTCTGTGCATCGATTATTGTCTATATTAAGTTGGTGGGCGCAGAATTTTACAGGGTGAGCTTTCATCGTTTACCCTGTAGGAGTGCCATATAGATTGAATTTCAACATAAGCTAAAAGTTTAAGAAAGGAACAAGCTGAGCGAATGTCTCTGAAATTTGGTGAACGCTACTTAGATTCTCTCTCTAAAGATGGATATTAATCTACCTTTGGACAGGAGGTGTCGTCGAAGACTCAAGAATCGTGGAATTACTATAAACCCATGATGCTATCGGATGTGTCGCTAGAGAAGAGAGGACGCGAAACATCGGAGTTTGCGCTGATTCAGAACTCGGCGATCCCCGCTAGCCAAACAAGCACACAGAGCCTAACACCGCCTTCTGAAACACTCCAGGCCAATGCGAATACTAATCCTCAACCATCCTACTTTATGAGAGAACAGAAGAAATCTGATGATGGGTACAATTGGAGGAAGTACGGTCAGAAGCAAGTGAAAGGGAGCGAGAACCCGCGCAGCTACTACAAGTGCACGTTCCCAAGCTGTCCGACGAAGAAGAAGGTCGAGAGATCTTTGGATGGACACATTACCGAGATTGTCTACAAGGGAACTCACAACCACCCCAAGCCACTGTCCACCAGGAGATCGTCTTCCCAATCGATTCAGCCTCCACCCTCTTCCACCGCATATTTAGAGCCTCACGATCAATTGGCTTTGGGCGGGTGCTCCGAAAACGGGCAGCAGGACTCTTCGGCCTCGATGGGCGATGAGGATTTCGAAGAGAACTCTCAGATGAGCAACTCTGCAGGCGATGACGATGGAAGCGAACCTGAAGCGAAGCGATTGTGAGTTGCCTTATATGATGATATGACCAAAAGAATTGTGGTTTTTTCTTTTGCAAAACGACTGAATGTTGAATGTTTGTTTTTCTTTCCAGGAAAGGAGAGAATGAATATGAGAGCTATTCAGCTTCTGGCAATAGGACTGTGAGAGAGCCTAGAGTCGTGGTTCAGACAATGAGTGAGATTGATATTCTTGATGATGGATATAGATGGAGAAAGTATGGACAGAAAGTGGTGAAGGGAAACCACAATCCAAGGTACTTGACCCTTGAATTTCACATCTTAAACATATATTCAAATTAAATGGGAAAAAAAGAAGAGAGAAAAGAAGACTTGGTTGTGGAACCAACCATTGATTCTCCTACTTTTGTTGATCCACAGGAGCTACTATAAATGTACATACCCTGGATGCCCCGTGCGGAAGCACGTCGAGCGAGCGCCTCATGATGTGCGGGCTGTCATCACGACTTACGAAGGCAAGCACAACCATGACGTCCCCGCAGCACGTGGCAGCAGCACTCAATACGTGAACCGGCCTCTTCCTTCTAATAACAACAGCAGCATCGCGCCAACGCCTATCAGGCCCTCTACCGTGGCGGGCCACTCTAACAACTCTACCTATCTAAGTTCCATAGAGAGTACGAGGTTGCAGAGATCAGGGGACCAAGCGCCCTTCACTCTGCAAATGTTGCAAAGTTCAGACAGTCACGGAGCCCCGGGATCAGGGAAGTACGGGGGATCGTACATGCATCAAAGCCTATATTGGGACGAAATATTCCCGAGGACTAAGGAAGAGCCGAGAGAGAGCTCGGAATTCGACTCATTTCTAAACTGAAGCTTCCCACTCCGATATAGAACAGGACGGTGAAAAGTTACCCCCAACACACACACACACAGATATGTAATGTACATTGAAACTGTACTTTATAGGGTAGGCTTTCTGTTCGTGAGGAAATTTCATAGTTTCAATTCGTTCATTTGTTTGTAGAACTAGAAAGAATAACACGGCGTCGAGCAAAATCTATGTCTGCTCAAAGTTTGAATTAGCAAAACTCATTTGTAACGCTTTTCATTTGGAAAGGGTCAAAGTTTCTCACTTTCTACACATTTCCTATCACTTTTCTATTCTGCAGCAACCTCGTTCAGTACATGCAACTGAACCTTGGAACAAGATGACAAAAGGCAATGCAAAAGATGGTGGCATCTCTGGCTAAATAGAGACCTGAATACACTGATTATCAAGCAAAACATACGAGTCATGTGTCAATATCTGGCGAAGATGGCAGAAGGAAAACGATACGCACCATATATGAATGGTCCACAAAGCATACCTAGGAGCCAATAGAACCTTCTTCCTTTTCAACGCTGAAATGTCCAGTCAAGTCACCGCTAAGTGGTTTCTTGGAAACTGCTGAGCAACTTAGTTCCTTGAGCTAATTCAATTAACAAGTCAGAATACTAAAGTGAATCTAGACCATTAAAAATGGGCAAGCCCCATAGATCTAACCATCCATTATTTTAGTATATATATACTAGGTTTTTTTTTTTGTCGGAAAGTATATGTACTAGGTTTACTTAATTCTTTTCTCATATATGACGGGTCGGATACAGTGTGTCCTATTTGCCATTCTCAAGTGTGCAATTGCAAGGTTCCTAATTTCGGCCGGTATTTCTCAAGGGATTTAATAATGGAAAAAGAGTACTATAGTACGCCAAATAGTATGATCTTATCTTCTTACCTAATGAATATCCATTTGAGAATCCTCAGCAAGAAATACTTGGCACTAGTCCAACTTCATTCTTTTATTCTTGAAATCGGAGTGAAACCCGCACTCTCTTGAAGATTAATTTACAATTCAATCCATTTCACACCGCACGGATGGATTATGTATTGTTGGTGAAAGCAAAAATCAAACCATCCTTAGATACAAAGAGATCGAAGACTAGATATAAGACTGCGTCGACAGTCTATATCCGGAGATAACTGCCGACAGCGCCAACGAGAAGAAGGCCAAGAAAGCCATGGTGATAGCGGCCGCAGATGAGTCCGTGAACATGTCGTTGGTTCCCTCCCTCATCCTATCTGTCATGGGAATGGCTGCGGATGCCGCTGATATTAGAAGGTATGCCATGACCTGTACCAACACCCAAAGCCAAGATGCTCACGAAAATCAGTTGACTTTTCAGATGGTCCGGCAAACTTTCCTCAAGTGATCAAATTTAGAGGATCAGAGACTCAAAAACAGATGACATAAACCATCAATAATTGCCAGCAAATTGTCTGTCCCTTTTAGCAGACACGTTCTTCATGAAGTAGTCATAGATTATTCAGGGTCAAACACTGGTTTTCATATGGTGACAACAACCTTGCGCTGGATGCTCTGTATTATACAGATTGTTTACTATGTGTTGTGCCAGATTGGACATGACCAATGACACGGACCAGGAAGCGACAATTACTGGAAAATTTCCCAGAAACTTGGAACTATTGATCCGGATTGATCCTCATAAATTTTCATATCAGTACATTTTCTCCCTCTTTACTTGCAGTTCCCTCTGATACCTTCGTGAGAACTGAACGGCAAACTCACAGTAGAGTCAGAATCGATTCGTGTACTTTGCTGTGATCCTCGGGGCAAATTCAGGATCAATATTCAAGTATGTCCAATGACAGAGACCGTTTGATGATTCCAATGTAAGCAAATAAAGTAAAGGATAAGGAAGACTGTTTCCTAGAAAATGCAGTTTGACCTTTCTCAAGACGATAAGAGGCCAACAATTGCAGAAGAAGCAGAAACCTGAGGGAAGGAGAAATCAAGCACCTGATCGCCGCAAAAATCGATCAAGGCGGACGTCCGTTGTTGAAGGAATTGATTTCCCGTAAAGATTTGATGAATGTGTCTCACTGCTTGAATCCCCGTGTACAAGGACGACAGAATCGCGATCGCCAACAAATACCTGATAGGATCACGTTCCGCGCATAAGCAAGTCGATCAGTTTCAAACTCTCAATTGCCCAAATGGGAGTGATTACGAGTTATTAACGTCCGAACTTGTTCTACTAGACCGAACAAATCACATTCATAGAACAATTGGATCCACTTGCGTCGAATAAAAGAAAAACACGAGTTCTGTGATTGATTCTTTCTGTACATTATTTTCTCGCCGTGATCATACTTACCTGTACTCTTCGTACTTGTGGAAATCTCTCCAGCCACCGTGCTCGTTGCTGGCCGTTATAATGAAAGCGAGCAACGAGAACAGGAAAGCCGATCCCCTCGATGCCAACCCGCCTTTCCTCAGCATATCTTCCCTTTTCCACCGCCTCAAAACCGACGACACCCCGAGCCCCGCCGCTGCAGTCTGGCTCTCCGCGCCAGGCCCGCGCGAAGCCCTAGCGGCCATCGACGGCGGCGGCTGGACATACCTTTTCGGCGTCCCGTCCCCAGAGTCCGGCATTTCTTGGTCCGATACTATTCAATTTAATTCCTCTAAAACCGCGCCGTGACGTGTGGCAATGGATGGAGAAAGCGAAACCGAAACAGGGTGATCGATTGACAATAAGAATGCCCTCGACCTCCTCGTCCCCGTCTCGTCTCGTCTCCTTCGTCCGCTTTCTTGTTCCGCTTCCAAACGATGTGACGCCTACCTAGGAATCACAGCATTTCTCATTGTGCGATACCCGCAGTTTTCGATGCCGAAAGGGACACGTGTCGATGCTCGGGAGCCTAGAACACGACGAGCGGGGCTGACTAGGAAGGAGCATTTGATGGTCGAAGCAGTGGAAAGACCACAAACTTGTCCTGTCCGTATAACGAGCTCATTCGGTGGACAAGGTTGCTGAAAGAACCGTCCGTGGCGGGCAAGTTACGTCCGAGGTCATCAACTTTGCCGTTGTTTTGGAATGATCGAATCGCCCAATTTCACTTTCTCCTTCAACCGAGTCATTTTGTCCAATATCTCGTCGGGACTATAAAGAGAACATTTCGCACCCGGTCGCCTAACTTTAGCCTAATTGAATCGAGGTCGCCGAACTTTGATTTTTCGACATTTTACCAAAGTCGTTCGATTTCGTATCGACTTTCATGGAAAGCTATTGAAAAGCGGAAAGAGTGATCTGATTGCAAGCGAAAGTCAAGGTGAATTTACTCGCCATAGGGACCGAAAGCAATTGTCGAACCTAATATAGGATACTGGTTCTAACCATCATTGGCTCCATTCTATTCAAAATTTGCATTTCATCTAATGGGGATAATGACACAAATAGTCCCTGAACTTTTTTTCAATGTGCAATGTGGTCCATGAATTTTTAACTTGATGTGCAATGTGGTCCCTAAACTTTCAATTTGTTCAATATGATCGCTGGACTTTTGGCACTTGTTCAACTTAGTCCACGAATTATATGAAAATGTTTAATATTATCCTTCCATTAATTCAAGTTTAGGGACAATATTGAATATTTTCATATAGTTCAGGGACTAAGTTGAACATGTTCCAAAAGTCCATAAACCACATTAAACAAATTGAAAGTTCATAAACCACATTGCGCGTTAGGCTATAGTTTAGGAACCACATTGAACTAATTAAGAGTCCATTTTCCCATATCTAAGTTTGATTCATAAACCAAACTGGCAAATGAAATGTTCATCTGTTTCCTTTTTAGATGGACCAAGCACATATGCCAAAACCCAATACATGCTCACGGTTCAGACAATTCTTGGCTCAAATCTGTTCGAAATTCTTGCCTTGTGCGGGGCCTGGGCCCCCTCGTACAAGACTTTTTCAGCCTTGTGCAGCAAATCTAGGGCCTTGCTCAAGGCCCTTATTCCCTTGTGCAAGGTTTTTCCTCCTTTCGAAAATTTCACTATAACTTCAGATAAAAAATTCCAAGAATTTTCTATTTTTCTCGAGGTAATTCATCGCATCTCTCTTTTTACTCTCTTTTCAAGTTGCTAATCACTTTTTTGAGGGTAGATTCGGTGTTTTAACGAGGTTCCGATCTGAGGAGGCAGAGTCCATGTAAGGGTTGTAAACCGTCTTTTAAAACAAATTCATAGTCGTCATAATGCTAATATAAGATTGGGAATTTTAATGGATGCATTTTGTTATTATGCTAGGTGAAATATACAATTTTCTTGAATAAAATAGGCAATTATTATGTTGGAAAATCTAGATAGTTACTTTATCTGTTTTGAATACTTTCGTTTATGTAATATCGAGGGGATCGGTCTAGGCGGACCTAATGATAAACAGGTAATGGCCGCCCGATCATGAATCGAGGCCCGTGTGTTCCACGTTTTCTCAATATATTTAGGAAATTATGGATATTTTCGTAAAGCTATTTTCAAATTTCAAAACCAGTTATTGCCTACATGGTCAAAAGGACGGAAACATTCCGGTCTAAGTAGGGCAAACAACAATATGGCGCCGTCATTTTCATAATTAAACATGCACCATTTTATAACCATCATTTAGTCAATTGTATCTCGTACACGTTACACCTAAAGACTCATGCCTGTTTTTGCACATCTTGCACATGTTCGAAAAAAAAAAACACGGAACCATGCAGGGGCATCAAAGGATGTGAAAGTCTTTACCGGATAACGTCCCTTGAAAGACCAAGATTCCACTCACAACGTTAGGATATATACATATATTAATAATTGCATTCGAGGACTTGTTCAAGAAAAAATACGACTTCGAAAAGGCGTTGTCGGGGCGCTAACCTAATCCAAGGCGCCGTAATACGCCTCCTGATTGTAGTCGTTTGGTTTTCTCGCAATTGACCACTACTACCTTCACGCGTGTGCCTAGGTTTTCCAACCATCCTAGTTTTCTTTTAACAGATGGTGCGTGGCGACTCCCTTGCATCGTATGTGCACAAGATGTTCAAATTCTCGATACTTTTTCCCATCGTGGCGCTTTGGCTCTTCCCTGTTTGCGCCTGCGGTTCCGGACGGGTGGGACTACAATGGGATGCCAGAGTTTTGAGATTCTTCTTGCTCTCGTATACATGTTTTGAAAACATGTTTCTTCCTCTACCTAATAATTTGAACATTTTTGGATGAACTTTTGTTATTGTCATTGTGAAACTATAATGCAGCTTTATGAAGACTTGTATACTTGAGTTGAAACTTGTATCTACTGTGAAGCAAAATGTCGATAGAGACTTGCCAATACCATGTCCTTGAGTATAATAAGAATGACAAAACTCCATCTGTGTTGTTGAGACCACTCTCCTCTCGTTTAAATTTCTTCTTCTTTCTTTTTTTGGCTTTTTTAGTTTTTCTTTGATCTTTTTAATCTATATCCATATATCGTTTTGGACAAAAATACATTGTTTCGGCCGCCGGAAAAATCAAGTGCTCGACTGTCGGTCAAATTATCACCGACCGGCGAGTTTAGGCACTTATTTAAAGCTAACTCGTTCAATTCATATCCTTATTTGAAATAAAAGACCACGACGGATTCCCTTTTAACAAAATAATCCTTGACATGTTTCCTTGGAAAAAGACACGGAAAAGGTCATCCGCAGCTCAGCTGCCAAGTGCCAACGGCTGTACCGACCGTGCCGAACAGCAAACGCAAGAATTTCACAAAGCAAAATCTGCAGAACCAGCCTGACAATTGGTCCAGAAAAGGCGTGCCCTTTTCGCTTTTGCCTGCATAACAGACGGAGCGATTTACCAACGGCTTTGCCTCGAGACTTGAGAGCTTGTGTGGGTTTTGGTTTTGGTGCATTTTTGGCCTCAGGCAAAGCTCACGGGATGACCCAACGAGAGCCCCCCCCCCCCCCCCCGTGAGTCCTCCCTCCTTCCTCTTCTTCATCCTCGTCCTACCACCCTATCCGTTGTTACTCTCCCAGTGCTAGGATGCTGCTGCTACCCCTGGTTGTCACGCTTAGGTCCCGATTCTATTCCAAAGTCCCTTTTCCATCCATCATATTAAGTATATTAGTATAGTATTGTACTGCGAAATATCAAATAGATAACAAGGTACACGAACAGCGATTCCGGTCATTTTGGTCCCTTTGATGGTATGAAATAAGGCATCGACACATCTTCCGTCCCCTTTTTTTCTCTTCGTCTCCTCTCCACTATGCTCTCTAACTCAAGCGCCGGAGGGCTCATCCGGAAGCGCTCCTCGGCCCTCTCCCTTGCCCCCTCTCGGTCGTTCTCAGCAGGCCGGGTACTTTGGGACTTCAGGACCACAATACACAGAGGCTGATCTCTTCTAAGCGATAGTAATTCCGAGGAGAATCGAAGTTCGACCAAAGTAGCTTGTAAACGACCAAAGTAGCTTGTAAACGAATCGCTACTCGACGAGAGCCAAGGTCCCGCGGATATTCAAATTGTCTACAGAATAACTATTTAAAATCATGAATGTTTTCATGAAAACTGTTGCAGACTTTCCAAAACCCACACTCTAGAAAATCTACCAGAAAACATGTGTCCACTAGAATATATTATGTGCCCGAACAAGCCAAGTAATATAACAAACTATGTTGTTTCGAAACATGTATACATGCATCATCAAATAAAGATTCGAAACACATAGTTACTCACGCATGCATAATAATTGCATATATGTGTGCGTAGTTTTCAAGTTATCAAGAAACATTATACTTGCCATGTCATTGTCATGTACACATGCATACATGTTTTCAAAACGCATGAAAACACACTGCAGGTGGATTCCGAGGAGTAAAGCGACGTGAACCTTTTGCCCGATACGGCTCAATAAAATAAAATTGCATTCGTACTTCAAGAAATCAAATGACAAATGAATTATGAATTATTTAAATGAAAATGTGGTACCGAAAGGGCATTGCAGGGTGGCTACCCCCGCACAACCGGACCCCCGGACGTTGGATCTCTAAATATTTTTCGTAAATAAACCATTTTCCTTCACACAATGCACTTAGACAGTTCATTTTTCGTAAAACTTTTTAGAATTTGAGGGTCTAATCAGCCTCCATTAATAAAATTGATTGGTGTCGGCTTCATTATTTTCAAAGCTCGAAAACCAATTTTGGTAAATTGCCTCGAGCTTAGCATAAGGGAAGATCCTAGGGAGTAGGGGACCCGCAAGGCGCCTACAGAAATTTTGGGCTCCGCAATCAATCAACATTTCGTAATCTTTGGATCAGATTAGTGAATTTGAAGAAACTCCTGAGCGAATCTGAGGAGCGAATTCGGTGAGGACCGAATTACTATACTATAAATCGACTTGGCCGGCTTTCTCTATTCTTTCTCTCTTTTATTTTTGTGCATTTATTTTATTTTAATTTTTATTGATTCGGTAATTTATGTTTGCTTGAATATTTGCTTTTTTCCAATTGAATGGCATAGTACTTTTGGGCATGCTGGTAAATTTTAAAATTTTAAAGAGGCTGGTGACTTAAAGGGAATGTCGGTCAATTTCTCAAACAAACCTGTTTGCTTCCGGCTAAAGATAATCAAGAGGTATTTTTGTACTTTTTCGCTAACACGAAGAGACATTATTAATATTTTAGAAAACTACGAAAATATTATATATGAGTATACGGATCTGTAATCAAGTTTTTAGAAACCCCGCGCGAATTGCAGGATTTCAAATTAAGCGGAAAAGCAAAAATTTTAGTCATTTGGTACATACCGCATGCCCAAAAATATTGGAAAGTCGCATTATCGCGTCTCATATAAATCCTCACAAAACGAAATTAATTATACCAAATTTCTTTCCATTTTCCCCCACTAATAATTTCTTTCCCAAAAGGAAATTCCAAAAATAGGAAACTCGCATCACGAAAGAAAATAAAATTTTCTGACATCGATTTCCCATTTCGGCCCCAACTTTTCTCATCGATCGCGGTCCGTTTCTGACCTCCAACCGGCCGTACCGGTCGCCGCCGCCGCCATCGTCGTCTTCGTCGTCACCCTCTTTTTTTCTCTTGTTATAACTCGAAGACACACCGTCGCAGGAGCGAGAGACCGTAACCGTCGCCTCCTCCATCTCCTCCTCCTCCTCCTCCTCCCTCCTCCGCCATGCTGCCTCTTCCTCCTCCTCCCCGTTTCTCCGCTCCCCCTCCTCTCCATCTTCCAATCTCCTCCGCCGCCCCCCGCCGCCTCTCCCTCGTCGGAGCCAACCACACCTCCGCTCGCTTCTGCTCCCGATAAATCCCCCTCCCCCCCCCCCCCCCATCTCTCTCTTTCTCTCTCTGTCTCTCTGTCTCTCTGTGTATTACTGTATTCGTCTCGCTCTCAGATCCGACTCTAGATCGCGGTGCCTCCGGCGGCGATGGAGCCGGCTCCGGCCAAACCGAGCTTCCTCCGGAACATCCTCGTGCGGGCCCTCCTCTTCGGCGTCGTCCTCGTCGTCCTCCGCTTCGCCTACGTCGTCACCATCGCCGGCGAGTCCTGCGACCTCGGCGACTTCTGCTTCTTCTCCCTCCCCGAGAACATCAACCTCGCCATCGCCGGGGCCGGCTCCGGCGACTCCGGCGCCTCCGCCGCCGCCAAGTCCCAGTCGGCGGCGGCTCCCAAGCGCCGCGACCCCCGCGAGAGCAAGGAGTGGATTCAGGCCGTCCGGTTTTACTCCTCGGTGTTCCAGGATCTGATGGTGGACGCGTTCCTGTCGCCGGTGCACAGGACCCTGTGCGTGGGCTCCGTCGCCGGCGAGGACGTTTTCGCTCTGAGGGACATTGGCGTGATGGACTCGATCGGGATTGCCAAGAAAGCGTCTCCTCCGTTGGTTAAATCCGGAGCGCTGCACCGCCTGCCGTTCCGCGACGACACTTTCGATTTTATCTTCTCCGGTGCCGGCCACTTCGACGGGTTCCCGAGGCCGGTGGACGTCGCAGCCGAGCTCGAGAGGACGCTGAAACTCGAAGGGTTCCTCGTTGTGCACGTAAGGGCTAATGATACCTATAGTTTCAATTCTTTCCTCGAGATGTTCAAGCATTGCACGCTGCTAAGGTCGCACGACATTGATGGTTTTGAATCTTCGTTGCCACGAATAAGGGAAATTGTTCTGAAGAAAGTTGGGGATTCCGACATTCACAGCCATTTGATTAGGAGAAGTAAAGTCAGTTCGGAGAATAAGTGCTCTGTCCCGGAGTACAAGCAAAAATTGGTCCGGAATGCAGAGCCATTGATAGAGGAGGAACCCTTGAAACCTTGGATTACTTTGAAAAGGAATATACAGAACATAAAGTATGTGCCATCAATGGTCGATATTAGTTTCAAGAATAGATATGTGTATGTTGATGTCGGAGCTCGGAGTTATGGGTCTAGTATAGGTAGTTGGTTCAGAAAACAGTATCCCAAGCAGAACAAGACTTTCGAAGTGTATGCAATTGAGGCGGATAAGACCTTTCACGATGAGTACAAGACGAAGAAGGCGGTTACGTTGTTGCCGTACGCGGCATGGGTGAAGAATGAGTCTCTGTTCTTTGAAATAAATCGAGACCCCGACCACAAGGTCGAGGTTGTTAAGGGGCGAGGGATGGGAAGGATTCGGCCTATACAGTCGTCTGCTAAATCTGATGGAGAGGTTGTCAAGATCAAAGGGTTTGACTTCGCAGAATGGTTGAAGAGAACGGTGTCTGCGAAGGATTTTGTGGTGATGAAAATGGATGTAGAAGGGACTGAATTCGACTTGATTCCGCGGCTCTTTAAAACTGGAGCTATCTGTTTGATCGATGAGATATTTCTTGAGTGCCATTACAATCGGTGGCAGAGGTGTTGTCCCGGTGAGAGGAGTTCAAAGTATGAAAAAACTTACGGTCAGTGCCTGGACCTCTTCAATTCTCTCAGGCAGAGTGGAGTCCTTGTTCATCAATGGTGGTAAAAGGCGAGAAACACTATATGTTCTGTATCAATCTTTTTCCTTAACCTTAGTAAATTTTTGTGCCTTTTGTCTTTTCGCGGGATTTGTTCGTTCTTGGTAACCTACATGTTTATTGGGCATTCTAGTGCATATAATTTTTCTTTTAATTTGTCCAATGGGAGCAAAACGAGAGAAACAATTGTTCAATTTGTAAGGATTTCTATTGCAAAATGAATGAATTCTTGTCGTGGAAACTCTCGCTCTCTAATGTATTGATTGTTTATTAGGGTCACTCTTTTGTATAAAACAGAGATGTGAAACATGCCTTCTTTTTGGAAAGATAGGGGAATATGAAATTAAGTTGAAAGTGTTTGATGAGGACTTTATTTTTTTGTTTTAATGAGGATCTGGCTGTTTAGCTTAAGAATAACGAACTGCATGATACATTACAAGCTGCTTGGAGACCTCAATTGTCAGGGGAAAGTATGCTACAGTTGAAAAGGTCAGTTTGGAAAGACTTTGAATTGTCTCTGTTGCATTTAATTTGCAAATGCAAAAGCCATGTCGCGATTCAAACAGTGTAGCAAAATACGCCCAGTGCTGTGGGCTTCTTTAGCGGGTCGCAGGAGGTGACATGGAATGGTGAAGAACACGCTTCCTTGACAGTGGATCCACTTTTACGCAATTTTCTTGGAACTCTCCTCCCATGCCTGCTCTTTTGTTTTCTTGGGCATAATTGTACTTGAATTAAGCAGATTGGAAGGCAATATTAAAACCTTGTCTGGCTGTCGAATATACTTAGAGAGAACTGTTTCTATCCCCTGTTTCTTTTTTGCAGACAAACTTGATGATGTATAATTTTTCTTTTTGGTTGAGAAATTTCTACCTGGCAGATAGTCTTCATCAAGTTCGTGTTTACCCAAAGCCTTCATCTTCTCCAATCTGTGTAAAATAGCTTGAGCAATGGATTGAGCGGGGACATTATACTTCTTTGCCAGTGGACTTATTGGTGAGAGTGTCTTCAGAACTGTTAATTTTTAACAGCAGGGATGCAATTTCTTTTGCCGAAAGAAAGAAGGAAAAAAAAAAAGCGACATGGAAGTTTGTTTTACTGCTCCCAGGAAGAAAACAAAGTGGACTCCATGGATGTAAGCGACTGCTGCAGAAGGTTTCGACATCGACTCACGGACTGAAGCCGAAATTCGTATACGCCAGGTAAAAAAATCTCTTCCTTCAGTGCCTAAGCTGTGGCCGTCTGTCGTAACTCCATTGCCCAAGTTATGCAGACAAACTGAATAGATCCCCAGGCCGGTGCCCATAATGCAATAATGCGATGGCTTCTATTATTGGGCAGCGAGGCCACACTCGCATGTGTTCTGTCGGCTTCAATACTTTGTTTTGCCAGTATGGCAAAACTCGGCGCTCATAGCTATAACAAGCTGGGATGCTGAACCTTTTTGTGTTTTCTGGTTGGGAGGGATCTGTGTAGGGCCTCGCGTCTATAGACGACTCCCCACTTATATTTTGTTTTGACTTCTGAGACACTTCGGATCGTCCCCGTCCGTCGTGTTGGGCGCTGGGAACGGTGGTTTTCAATTCCACCGGGCCTACAAAGGCATGTGTTTCCATGCCTGACCACGACTTTCTTTTCCCCCAACGTCTTTTTCTTAAATGTCGAGATTGATCTTGACATACTCTTGAAGCAATCAAGGCCTCGTTTGGCTTCGTTGACTGGGAATCTGAAAACGATTTTTCCATTCCATGCTATCGCATTCATTGACATAATAATCCTTTTAATTATTTGGAGGAATAATAGCACAAATGGTCTCTAAATTTTGGTCCAATGTGCAACATCGTTCCTGCACTTTTAATTTGTGTAATGTGGCCCATGAATTTTGGCCCAATGTACAATATCATTCTTAGACTTTCAATTTGTTCATAGTAGTCTATAAACTATTGGTAAATGTTCAATGCAGTTCCTAAACTATATGAAAATGTTTAAAAATTATTGGACCACATTAAATATTGGACCAAAAGTTTAGGAATCACGTCAAACAAATTAATAGTTTGAGGACGATATTGCACAATAAATCAAAGTACAAATATGGTTTGTGTCATTTTCCTTTATTTGGATGATCACGCAGAGATTATTAAATCGAGGACTTTAGGGTGGGACACTGCCCCATCATTGAGTATTTAATGGTTCATTGGTTGAGACAAGTGCCGGATCTATTTTTTTTTCCATTTTTGTTTCAATTTTTATAATTTGTTAATATTTTCTGATTGTTTTTTTATTAAATTTACCGAAATTGCAAATTAAATTCTAACTTGTGGAATCTCACTATTAGGAGTTGCTATGCATCCAATTCCACACATTTTAAAGAATAATTTTCAATGAATAATTCACATTCGAGTTTTGATTTCTTTCCAAACACAAGAAACCTAGAAATTGGAATCCTACCAGTAAAAATAAACAAACGAGGTTTAAAACTTATCAAACTGGTAATTATGGTCTGTAAATTATGAAATACGAAGGTCTGCATGAAAGACTTTGTCTAAAAGTTGTTGGGCTCTCAGGGTGGACCCTCGCAGGGTGCTAGGCCTGGTTGCAACAAAGAAGAAAACCCTTATGAAATGGTGCAGAAACGGTGATAGGCTAGCTACAGTGCAAAGTTGTATGTCTTTGAAAAATAAGATCCAAAAGTTTACTCGGGTCAAAGCGTGAGCTAGTAATGCTTTCAGCTACTAGACTCTCGCCATTTAGGGTGCATCATTCATGTGCTCTGCCTAACAGCATAAGACTCCGTTCTCCCGGTTTAGGCCGCTTCAATTTCGCTGGCCGCTAAATCTATACGAGTCCCCTGGACCCGGAAAAGCAACCGCCCCAAGGTGGCCATCTTAAACTTTGAAATTGGGCAAGAGAAAAAACACAAGTCTCAAGCTCTAGCCCAACATTGGGCGGTGAATTTGGTTCCTCGCCCATCTTGCTTCGGTTCAAAGAATGGGGCTCCCAAGGTTTGAAGACACTTCTCGCGATTCAATACGAACCGAGGCTCTCATGGTGCTCATGTTCAAGGGTGTGTAGATTTTAGGGTAGGTAGGGGCACCCTGAAACCTACTCTATAGGCACCGATTCTAAGTTTCTGAAACCTATAGCCAACCGTACACGGTCTCATAATTGTCTCAGAACTAGTACTGTGTACTACCTTGTAATTTCAAAAAATATTTATCAGATGAAGAAGGGATAATGACCCAAATAGTCTTGAACTTTGACTTAATATGCAATTTGATCCTTGAATTTTTAATTTGTTCAATGTAGTCCAGAACTTTAACATAATGTTCAATTTGATCTCTGAACTTTTAATTTGTTCAATATGATCCTCGAACTTTTAATATGTGTTCAATTTAGTCTCTGAACTATATGAAAATGTTCAATATAGTCCCTACACTTGAATTAATGGAAGGATTATATTGAATATTTTCAAATAGTTCAAGGACTAAATTAAACACATATTAAAAGTTCAGGAATTACATTAAACAAATCAAAAGTTCAGAGACTAAATTGAATATTAGATTAAAGTTCAGGGACTACATTGAACAAATTAAAAGTTCAGGAATTATTTGTGTCATTTTCTCGATGAAGAATGCCACAAATCATCTTATTAACACATCAAATAGACCACATAAAGGCCCACTTTCATTCATATTCAAGTGCATGCTTATATAATAGTAGCATAAAACACGACATTGGAAGTAAACTGCGACCAATATATACGCTTCTTCCCATCAATTCACACACTTAAACATGAAAAAAAATGTCAAGAAAATAGAAAAATCATTAGTAGTTTAGTAAATATGCATTTTCTGAAATTTTGTATAGGATGCCCAAATCTTTCTATAAGGTACTCTGCGCAGTGTCTAACATATAAGGTATTGATTGGGTATGACCACTAACCACGAAACCTACTATATACTTTACCCATTTAAAAGTTTAGAACTTGAAACATCTCTTGCAACCTCTGATATCCATCTTGAAACCTACCTAATCATGTCGGTTTTGTAAGTCTTCTTGCACACCCCTGCTCGTTTCAACGTTTATTATTACCAAAATGTTTCGATGTAATGATAAATCAGTTTGGAAAAGAAAAGGTTCACATTACATTGATTTTTTAATATGGTCAAACTTATAATTTGTACAGTAAAGTTTGGAATCTTTTCTAACCATGCCCCTTAGTCGTCAATTCCCATAAGTTGAAGCCGAATGTCTTTCGAGGCTAATCAAGCTCCTCCCTTCCTCCGATCCGTCACCAAAGAATAACTCGGATCGATTCAGTTACATTTAAATCAAGTCATAAAATTTATCCAATTAACGTAGTTGACATGGAATCTCTTTTATTATCTTTCAAGGGTAGATGGCACTGATTGAGTGACACGTTAAAAAAACCAAAAAAATTAAAAAGAGAAATAAAAGTGAAAAAGAGAAAAACCAAAAATAGAAAAGGAAAACCGGAGGTAAGGGAGAGAGCCCCACCTTCCTCGGCGACCTCATCCTTCCAAAGGCGATGGCGCCAATCAGCACCACGAGTCCTTGAAAACACACTAAAAAATTTGTCACATAAAAATATATGGAGCTAAGAAAGTACATGATTGCATTGATTCGATAAATTTTATTATTTGATTACATTTTTCAAAAATTACAGAACTGGATTGTACTTTTTCAGTAAGTTTAATCGTATTATTGTTTGTGCAACGCCTTAATTGTCCGCAGTGGCATCACTTTAAGTTTCATGGTTGAGGCATTCCTAGAAATCGTAGAACATTAGTATCTCTCTCTAATTTTGATATACTTGTCTGATTTAAATAACGGAGGGCCTTCTTAAAAGAAAACCCAGGAGACCATCTCGTTGTGGTGCATAGGACCGCCAAACCCAGAGGCACTCGATCCGTGAGAACCGATCCGAACAAAACCTGCACTCAACGCATGTGGTGTTTCATTGTGTATGCAAAAGATTTGATTTTTCTAAACATTTAAATTCCAAGAAAACCACCGGTTAATTCCCAAATATCACAGGTCGAGCGTGTAAGATTTTTTTGACAAATTATACGCATACGGTTAGTGAAACGTAACAGATCTCATTGGACTGAATCCTCAAGAGACACCGTGCCTTTATAGTCTTTCCCAGTTGGATTGAAATAGACGATATCTTAGTCGCTCAACAGAATTTTAACACGCACGATCCAGAAATTTATTTCCGTTCAAATCGACGGCGAAAAATTCAGGAAACATGATGTCGGCCGGAGACCATCGACTCCACCTACACGCATACGCATACCTCCCGTTTCAAACAATTCTGGCTCGCCGCTTGAAAGCGGCAAAATAAATTGCTGGAGGCTCGATGGTACCAATGTGTATCATGTTGTCGAGAATAAAATGGCTTTTGAATTTAATTTCAACGTGACGTACAGCCAACTGCTAAGCCTGCCTAGAAGAACTTTGGTCATTTGCTAGGGCTCGTCCGAAATCAAAGGCGCGGAGGACATTTTCTTCTTCTCCATCTTTTCAAGAATTTCACCTGCAAACCAAAGGATTGACCAAAACGTGTCGTGTTCTGGTTGCCTCTGTTTTCACCTTTTTCAAAAGTGAAACAAAAGATGGCCCGACTAGGTACTAAAAAAAGCTCTCTGGAAAGAAGAGGTGCTCTTGCTTTTTTTATTTTTTTTATTCGAATTATCTCTTTAAAACCTTTTCTTTATCTAAATGAATGTGCTTACAAAAGTAGTATATTAAAGTTGTATATATTAATATAGGTAAAAAAAAAATGATAAAGAGAGATAAAGAAAGGGTTTTTTTTTAGCCCTATTTTTTGTGTAATGTAAGATAGTAATTATCCTTTTTCAGTTGGGAGTCTTTGCTTTTCTTTTTCTTTATTGTCTTTTCTTTTGTCTCCTAATCTATTTTGAGAGTTTTGTGTGTGTGTGTGAATGAATTCAGCCGATCTTGACTGAATGTGGAGATCAGTTCGATCATTCGTCCAGTCGACAGCCACCGAAAATGTTCGTAACGTGGCTCCATAACCTCTTCAAAATTAGGCCGCTCTCCTCTCTCGATTTAGATTTAAATCTAAATATAGAGGTTTTACTTTCTCAAACTAGATCAAGATATAGATCTTGGAGTTCTTTATAAATATTTAATTTGTGTTCTTTCAACATATTAATATTGATATCTTTATACGGCGATGGTAATGAAAACGTTGAATCTAAATGCGTACCGCAAGCCATTGCAAATGGAATGAGAGATCTCGGCGTGTGCTCATCCTTCAATCTAGTGATTGGCCACCGAATGTTTACGGTAGAAGATATGTTCTTGAGAGATGAGTCTGCTTAATTAGGTGAGTTGTAAGGTTACAAAAAGGTAAATTACACAAAGTTAAATCATTCTATAGCTCCCGAGCTTGCTTAAAACTGTTGAATGTTCCATAGAAACTAGGGATGTAATTAAACCAAGCTACTCGCTAACAGTTTGGGCTCTCGGTAATTACTCAAGATCGATCTCTCTTATTTTAAATTGAATTCGAGCTCAAGCTACTTGAATATCTTGTCCAGTCAAGTTTGAACTCGCCAATTCTCAACTCCATTGGATCGAGAATCCACATAAGCTTTTGTTAAATTTTTTTTAAAATTAATTTAATATCAATAGAATAATGCGTGTACACGCATTGTTCGAGCTTGAGCTCGACCTCCTTCGTAGATTGGTCGTCTTCAAGTCGAGTCTGAGCATTTCGATTTTCTAATCGATTCAAGCTCCAGCAGAAGTTTTAATACTAGACCGAGCTCGAGCTTTAGCATTGTATCGGCACGACTGGACACGGTTCTACCTCCATCTAGGATTATTATCAAGTCTACAATGTCATTCAATGGCAACCAACCATTTTCTTGAATCATCAGAAATTTCACATTGTCGATAGAGCGGAAGCAAAGCCTCCGACCCGTGACCCCCGCGCTTTCCCACATGAATATCTAAACGTCACTTTTCACTTCCCCCCGAATCAGAAATCATTGAAACCTTCGCAGAGATGTCTGCACTCTGCAGAAGTGTGAAACAGAGAGTTTGAATGGATCACGCCATCTTCCTTCCTACAGTACCAAGAATTCAATCGGCATTTTCGAAAACTACTGCCAAAAAAAGGATCTACCCACCTGCAACAAATCTTCGTTTTCAAGATTATCTGACCCAAAAGACGCAAAGCAAATGGGGAGCGGGCAACAACGGAGAAAAGATAAAGGGAAAAGATAAAAAGGAAAGCTCTTCTGATTTTCTTGTGAATCCAGTGATCAGTTTCTTTCCATGTCCCACTGCTGAAGCTGACCAAACAACGAAAGCTTTTGCTTTTCTCACACCTGACAGAGGGGGCATGCTTCAATTTCTCGGAACAGATGAATACGGACACGCGACGTAACGAAACCTGAAACCTGAGTACTCGCTTGTGTTTTGTTTATGTTAAATCTCGCCTTTCTTCAACATAAAATACCATATAACAACCAGTAGCACCATATTTATACAGCGAGGCATTCATTACCAGACATGGCTCGCAAGCATCATAATGCCCCAAGCTCTTTAACGAGTGAGGTAGGGAATAAAGGTTAAACCAAAAATGGGGACAGAAGCTTAAAATGCGGGGGCTTTGCGGACGATGTAGCGGTAAGCGGCGACCTTCTTCCGCCGCGAGGCGGTGTTGTCCACGGAGATGACCATCTTGCCTGCTTCACGGGCGGTGTAGGAGTTGTGGACTGCTTCCTCAGACGGGAACATCTTCCGGGGCTTCTCGACCGCGATGGTGTAGCTCCCCTCGGCGTTGGGCACGAATTCGGCGCTGTACTCCAAATCCCAGCCTCCCACCACTATATCCCACGTTATCGTCGCGTTAGCCTAAAACATCAAACACCCCAATTCGCGCACAACATAAGCAAAAAACATTCAAGAGAATTGCCATTGGAAAACAAATTCCTGATCTACATGTCATGGGGCATGAATTTCTGGGTTTATAACAAGGTGGAATGTAAGCGAAGTGAACCTCGATCCCCTCTACTTGGATGTTGACTTTCTCTCCGCCTTTGACGGTGAACTCAGACGCTGGCTTCGGAGGACCGTTCTGCAGATCGCTGGGTCGACTCAGCCCTCCATACTGAACAGGAACATCCTCTGGCCTAATGAATCTGACAACAATTGAATTCTACATTGTTAACGAAGCGTCCAGCGTACCAAGCAAAAGCCAGAAGCCAAAAACGGCACGGACAGAAACAGAGACTACCTCGAAATCAACCCAAATCGAGAAAAAGCTTTTCTAGATCTACACGGAAACAGTGAAGTCATCTGCTAGGCGTATGAAATGTCTGAGCTTTTTCTAAGGCTTACTTGTAGAGAGTCTCCGCAACATTGCCTTCCTTGGAGATGACGAACTTGCTCTTGGTCCGCTGAGTCAAGAACGGACTGAACACCGAGTACAACATGCTGAAGTACCAGGGGACGTTGATAAAAATCTGAAACCCATCAAAGCCCAGAACCAGACAAAAGAGGTAAGTCACTCACAGTCACAGGAACACCCCGCCATCACTCGAACTTCCGTTCACATCAAGATTTGAAAAACAGAAGGAAACCACCCCACGCCCCAAAAAAATGATAAAGGTCCCAGAAAGAAGAAGAGCGAAATCTACCTTGCGAGCGACCATCTCGGGGTAATTGTCCTGAAACAGGGACAGGATCTGGGCGGACGCGACCCTCAGCTCTCTCTTGGGCATGTCTTTGAGATCAGTCACCTGAATGATGGAATTGACACCGCCGGGCTTGAAATGCAGGGCGCTGATCCCTCTCTCCAGCACCTGGACTCTCCACCTGAGAAACCTCTTCAATTTCTCGTCGTCCCCGAAGATCCTCTCGTACATGTCCCTGTCCTTGAAGACCCCATACGCGTTGTAGCACGCCGGGTGTCCTTCCCTGTCGTACCCGCGCATGTAGGCCACCACGCCCTCGAGCTCCTTGAAGCCCAAGTCCTCGTCGACGATGCCGTCGGCCTTGAACTCGCTCCTCCAAGCCAGGCACTTCTCCAGCATGGCGTGCGCGTCGGCGACGCGGAAGTCTCGGGCACGCAGGAACTTGAGCAGGACGACGTCGGCCCGCTCGTCGCCGCCCAAGAGAGGGATGCCCCACATGGCAACGCCAACGCCGTCCCCGTCGCCCTCGCCGTCGCCGTCGCCGGAGGGCTGGGAGGAAGAGAGCTTGAGCTTGAGGTCTTGGAGGGCCTTCTGCTCGGAGGGCTTGAGGTGGGAGACGAAGTAGGTGTCCTCCTTGAAGGAAGGAGAGCGGAGGGCGGCGGCTTCCATGAGAGTGGTGACGAAGCTCTTCTTGGAAGAGGGCGGCTGCTGCTGCTGCTGCTGCTGCTGCTGTTGCGGGCCGGAGATGGGCGATGGGGATTCCATTTCCTCTTTATGTTCGTCGCTGGTTGTCTTTGCAGTGAAGACAACGCTGGAAGATTTTAGAAGGAGAGAGGGACTGAAATTTGGGGGGTGGGTTGCTTTTGGGGTTTGGAAAAGAGGATGATTAGAAGAAGCACGTCTTTTGAGTGTCAGGAGGTGAACACTTCTGTTCCTGGTTCGCCGGTTGGAGAGAGAAATTCTGGAGCTTTTGCAGTGCGGGTCGGAGTGCGGACAAGACAAGCGTGACAACCTCTCTCTCTGCTTTGCGGACAGTAGAGCGAGAGACCGTGGAAAAAAAGAAGTGTGGAGAGAGAGAGAGGGGGGATATTTGAACGAGAGGGGGCTTCAAAAGCGGTGCTTTTTACAGAAAATTTGAATTGAGAACGGTTGTGGGAAACGCAAGCGGTCGCTTCTCTTGTCCTGGGCATCTCGACATTTTAACCCGGCCGTGGGAGCTCATCTCGTGCCGCCCGAGTCAAATTTAACTGCTTACAAGATTCAACTGGTGGTAAATAAAGAATTTGAACCGTAGAAATTAAAGACGATCGAGAATTTCACGGAGGCTCCTTTTGTTTGGCAAAAAATTATTTTCGAAAAAACATAATTGTTTTCATTTTTTGGCTTTTAGGTCGCTTAGGAAAATGAGTCGATGGAAAATATTTTACTAATAGATGAGTCAACGGAAAATATTTTGCTAGTCAGCAGAAAAAGGTAGGGGCCCAGCCTCGATGGCCTCTGGGGTCCTAGGCCTGACCTTGAAGGACCCAAGCGCGGGTGTCGAGGATCGAGGCCCAGTCTCGATGGACTTGGGCGCGAGCACCGGGATCCCGAGCCCAACTTCGATGGACGAAAGCGCGAGCGTCGGGGACCGGGGCCCAGCCTTGATGGACCAGAGCTCGGGCGCTGGGTACTAGGGCTTGGCCTCAATGAACTCAGGTCCGGGCGCAGGGAACCAAGTCCTGGGCACCGGGTTCATGGCCCAGCTTTGATGGACTCGGATGCAAGCACTAGTACCGAAGTCCCAGGCCCAGCCTCAATTGACCTAGGCTCGAGCGCTTGGGTCTCGGTCTCGGGCACTAGGGTTAGAGGCTCGGCCTCAATGAACCAGGCCCAAGCACTAGGGACTTGGGCCAGCCTTCATAGACCAGGGTCGGTGCGCCAGGGAGTTGGGCACAAGCACTAAGTTCTCGGGCTCGGTTTCGGTGGACCCAAGACAAGTGTCCATGTTCGTGCTCGAGAGTCAGGGATCCAGGCTAGAGACCCCAGTGCTCGTGCCGGGTTTCTTGGCTACCCTTGCGCATGTCACCGGTGCTCGTATAATGTATGTATATTTAGGAGATTTTCCTTATCAAATGACTAAAAATATTTTCCAGTTCATTTTCGAATCTCAACCAAACACCGGAAAATGACTCATCGAAAAACATTTTGCAGAAAAATGTCACATTTTTCGCGAAAACAAACAAAACCTAAGTAAAAGTCCACTTTTGGTTTTTAAATTTGTGCATTTTCTTCTAATCAAGTTCTTGATTTTTTTTAATTTACTAAAATTTCAAGTTCTTGAACTTGCATAATTTTTCAATCAAATCTCACCGTCTCCAAATCCAGTTAATCGAAGCCGACTTATCAGTCAAGTTGGCAAGAGTCTAATGTGGAAAAACTTTTTGCCACTGTAAACGCATGCTATTGAAATCTCAGATATGAATACCAGAAACAAACCCCTTGTACTCGAGCTTTTTCTACATTGAAACCTTTCCAGCTCCAACAGACTGGTCAGTTTCATTAAACTAGATTTAGAGCCGCATGGATATAATTAAGACAAGTTCAAGAACTTGATTAGATAAATTAAAAGTTTAAGAATTTGAGCGGAAAAAGTGTACAAATTTAAGGAGCAAGAGTCAAAATTTACCTTATTATTGTAAGTCTATGTGATTGATCATTTATAAGATTACTTACCATGGATTACTAGTGAAGTAAATGCGCAATTGAACCTAGGGTTGAACGCGGTACAGTTTGATTTGGTTTCCACATCAATCCAAGCCAACATCGTATAAATATGGTTGGAACGAAAATGAAACCAATTGAAGTTTGGAACCAAACCAAACAATTCTTTGCAATTTGATTCGCTTTGGAACCAAACCAAACTAAACCGACTTTTCTTCTTTTTCCGTATTTTTCATTAATTCTTTGTAATTTCATGAGCTTAAATCCACTAAAAATTGCTTAGAAAAAGTAATAATTTCATGGAACAAAACTCTATACTCATAACAAATTACAAGTTCATACAAAATGAAAATTTAAGCTACTTCATATTATAAAGGTAAAGGCTACTTCATATAAAAATGTGTGTGCGCGTTAAATATAATTCAAAAAATTAGTAGGTAGTACAGAACGGCTTTGCCGTTTGGTTTGGCTAAAAAAATAAAAAAGTAAACCACTGCAAGATTTTAAAAAATAACAAAGTTAAGGATTTTTTTAATAACTAATCCAGACCTTTTATACCCAAACATTATGTCACATCCAAGTTGACCATTTTCGCCAATTTATGACACATACCTACATATGTTAATTAATCATGTGAGCTAATATTAGTGCACATGAAACATGTTAGTATATTTCAAGAGGTAAATATATGTAATAACATATCACGAAATACTCGTGCATAACAGTTTTTAACTAAATGTGTTAAATGTGTCTAATCTTGTGATCACTTTCAAAAAATATATAATGTTATGCTTCCATTAGACGAATATTTATATTTTCTATGACCCATTAACGAGACAAAAAACGTTTGCAAAATTTTATGATGTTACGTCGTAATCATAAAGTATATAAATGAGAGGGTAGTAAATCAAAGTATATAGCTTTTTTAGTTTTACTATTGACTAGTGACCCTTAGCCGACAATTAAGAATTCTAGCCCTCCTTTTCAATAACAACTCGAATAAGCAATGGTAAATATTGATAGAATGTTAAGAAAGGTAACCCATGCAGAGGAGAAGGGAAAAAGTGCAATCAATTATTCCTGATGGTACCTAAAATTGCTCATGTCACTTAAAAATCTCCTACGTATCCTCATATTTTAGGACTTAATTGCATGTTTTAAATAGAGGTTCAAAATTTGATTGAACCAAATGAAAAGTTAATATTTATTTGCACTTTTTGGTAAAGTTTTAGAACCTAATGGAAACATTTGAAAGTTTTAGAACTCTTTCGACTGAAAAAATAAAATTTAGAACTCGATTCTATTTTGAGATTTAGGATTTATGGTGCATTTTTCTTGAGGAGAGAGGTTGCATTTTCGCTATACAAAATTAGGGCCTGTTTGGTTCAGCATTCAAATGCTGCTTTGGGGTTCTAAAGGCCCTTGGGCAAATGCAAACTTGTTTGGCAATTTCTTTTGCAAGCTTTGAGGAGATGCAATTTATAAATATTAGCAAAAGTCCTTTACAAAATTAAGATTTTACCAAACGGTATTTAGACCAAAGTTGTTTTCAAATGTGATTTTAAAAGACACGTTACCAAACACTACTTGCATTTCGGAAAACCCCTTTAACTCAAAGGTATTTGCATTTTGCCAAATGCATTCCCCCAAAGCCGAACCAAACAGGCCCTTAAATGGTCTCGGTCCCAAATGACTTCAGGAGAGCATGTGATAATCTGCTTAAATTTCAGCGGAAACAATTGCTTTAAGACAAACTCTCTCCCAGCCTGAAAATTGTTTTGATGATGGTGCAAGATCGCTCCAAATCTGTCTTGTTAAATTTATGATGTTTTCAAAGTCCGTAACGGGTTTTGACATCAAGTCCTAAATTCATCTTGCTAAAATTGTCAAGTATTGCGGGATATTGGTAACCTGCTTTAATCCCATTTTAGTAAACAAATATCTCATTCTGATTGCACGATAAACCACATCAAAATTGCAAACACGATTTAATTTCTTTGCATCATAGATTTCCAATTAGAAAACCTATAACATTTCAAAGTATAATAATTTGGCAAATGATTTATCGAGTTTACTCGTTAGCTCAAAAATTTATAAACCCTAGTAGGGTCAGAATAATTAAGAATATTACTAAATAGCCTAATAACTCAATATATATCGAGTTTCCCAATTAAAAAATTCCCAAAGCATCCCAAATACTACAAGATTTCTAGCGGTCGACCCCAAACCCGTTCCATTACCCGATATTAGAGTTTGAACAGGTTGGGTACTCGACCATACTGCCTCACTTCCAACCTTACCCAAAGTCCTCTTAAAAATGATTTTGTTGATAAGTACCTCGAAGATACTTGTTAAGTAACAAATTATATTAATTTTTACATAGATAATGTCCATTTTTATAACCCACCAGTCAAAGGATTGCTTAGGGATGGAGGAAAAATACAAGCCATTAACGAAATAATCATATCTTCCTCTACCCTTAATTGGAGGGAGCTTCGTCCCATCGGTTTCCCCATGAGTGGGCCATCTGTATTAGCATCGCCCTCATTTATGTGGGTTGGCGATCGCTTATATTTGCACTCATCAATCAAAAGTCGAATCGAAAGATGGAGGAAAACACAATTCTTATAGAAATCGCGTGGTTTCAATGCACCGATCATTGTCGTGATATTCGTTTCTAGATTTAGCTCTGCTTATCAGATGACACCCACGAGAAGACTCTCAACACGACTCTATTTCAAAAGAACAGGTGAATGTATGGATGACATCACAAATGCACCTCAGGAATTGGATTTAGGATGGAGATAGATTGGATTTGGCTGCAGGAGATTGTGTCGTCTTTGGGGCCGGGCCTGGGTTGGTTGGGGAAGGGACCCCATTCAACCTCTTTTTGGCTTCTAATTTCCTCGCTTTGGTCCAATCACTCCTTTCTCGCTTCCCAATCTCTCTGACCTTTTTCTGCTCCAACACAGCTGGATAAATTAATCATGTCGCAGAGACAACAAATAAAGCTGGAACACGTTATCCTCCAAACGTTTTACCCGAACCGTGGTCCTGCAAGCTAACCAAAACCCACCAAAATGTCCCATGATCTTTCCGTTTAAAATCCCATGATGACTCAGATTATTATTATTAGGATTAATATCACCAAAAAAAAAAATCCCAAATCGATACGTCCGTGTCATACTTATCTTAAGTTGTCATAAAAAA